TTTTCCCCCTGAAGATTACCATTTAGCATAGAGCAGGTTATTATCTCGCTCCAATATGTTCATTAGCTCTCTTTAGCGGACGATTTACATATTTACTTGATTTCAATTGGTTCGTGCGCATTTCCGATTTACATTTGTCTTGATACTGTATTCAAATTTTGACCTTAAAAATTAATATTTCGTCTAATTTATTCATTTATGTTTACATTTTACAATAGAAAACTAAACTCTATTGTCAATCATCGTCTAACTGCTTTTGTAGTTAATCGTTCTTAAGCATTGAACGTACGTCAAACCTAAATCAAGATCTGACCCCCTGTTTGATCTTATTTGTTCTTTGGAAGAATATGGACTTTCCGGGTGACGGATACCAGGATTTATTCACACTGTTACTTTGACAAATTGGTCCGAAGTGACATGGATATCATGATTTCGAATGCCCGCGATGCAAATTTATGCTTTATGAGTTTTTATTTCTTTCTGCAAAGGATACATTGCCTGTCAATGCAATTTTAATGAGATTTCGAACATCAGTATTCAAAATACCGGGGTGAAATAAGGACGCTAGAAAAGTTTGTTAAAATATTTAAATTTGAAGAAATTTCTATCATTGACTTTCTTTCATTTGATTTCTACTCAATATGAAAATATGAATAAGAAATTCACTTCATTTATATGAATTACATGCTGTTTTCTCCACATGTTTACATTAACTGTTTGATACGGAAAAAGTGAATAAAACAGGCATTGAATTAAGAAAAGACTACTCAGAAACATACATGAATGTCAATTACCATTAAAAATCCATTGAAATGAACCTAACCTATTTTTTACCTGACGTGCATCAAGAATTTTGATGATATTAAATCAAGGTCAACACATGACGAAATAAGTCTAGAGCATTTCAGTACTCACGAACATCCCAGTCTGGCTGAATTTCTAAGCATTGCTGCCGAATGGTTTCAAATCCGGTCTGGGGCAAGCCGTTGCTTAGTAGTGTATGGTTTCAGCAATAGATTCGAGAGTGTGTTTTTAAGCTTATAGCTTACAGATTCCTCCATATAAATCAAATTAAAATAAATGCTGTGTAAACTAAACAATCGCATATTTTCGTTCAGATATTTCAATTTTTGTATTAAAACATAGTTTGTAATATTCAAGAGTTTATAATATTCAAGACAAATGATAAATGAATACCATTACCCTTTTAATGTTCGAGCGCATTTTTATTTCTTGCACGGCATCTGGAATGTTGGAAAATGGGAAACTATATCCACAGTATGATCAATTTTGTTTAATTTCAGAAACCAGATTTTTTCTTCGTATTTCAATATTACTTTTGTTTTTCCCCCTACCCATGAGAACTGATAATGGGCAAGTAAACCGAATGAAAACTTTGACATTTTGAAATTAATTGTTAAATTATGTCGCTATGAGAAGGTTTCTCAGATAGTGTTCCCAGAGAAAAACAGGAACGCTGTTGGCAATGCTTCTCTTTCATTTATTTTCAACAGATTTCGCGAGATTTTGTGAGACTACCAAATTTCATTACAGTTTTATAGTTTTATGATGAATTTTGCTGGTTTCATGTTTAGACAATTTATTACTCTGTGTTAGAATTAATCAGAGATGTGAAGTTCCTTATTAGGAATTACTGGTGTGATTGAGCATGCATTTGTAATAAACGTTTCATTATTTTCCATCCCGTGAAACGATTATTTCGTGTCAAAAATGATAGACAAGTATTGTTTTGTTCCTTCGCTTAAACAAATGTAATGATTGTTTTACTGTTAATGGTTGATTAATTGTTGTGATGTTGAAAAATACAAGAACATAGTTTTGAATACATAAAGCAGCAATGTCGTATAGGGAAATTGTTATAGAAAAGAGTGAACAAACTTTCTCAGCTTTTTGCGTCTAACATTGTTTTAGTAGAAAGGCGACTGAACCAGAAAGAAATTTTTACAAATATGACAAGTGTATAATCTGATTTTTTTCGGCCAAAACACATTGTGCGACAGATGGGCTGTCACTGACCGACTCAGTTGTCTCAAAGTTCAAGAGATTTGACGTCTGAATATGTTGTGTCCACTTAAAGATATTTTCCGCAGGGATCATACTTTTTTCGAGGCTAGAAAAATCCCGGAAATTCTTCCATAATCAATTGAAAGGAAAATTTCAAATCGGCTTTAAAACTTTGTCAACTTTTCAATCAGATTTACTAACGTTCGACACGTGCAGTGTCGTTAAATTATACGTTGATACTACGCATGCGTGACGCCGCACGCGCCAATCTGTTAGTCACGTGCATGTCTTTGCAGACGACATCACGCATATGTCTAAAGAACGCTCTCGTGAAAATCTTCATTATGTTTCCATTCGCGAGGTTGACTTTATGCTTTTATCAAAGCTCATAAAGCTAATTAAGCTCGTATAATTCTTGTCGGAAATTATCAATTCCAAACAAAATATTGCGACATAGTGTTTAATTATGATTCGTATTTATTTGGGGATATTCTTCTTCTGTCCTAAAAGCTCGCGGAAAAAGGGAACTGTCAGTCACTGCCCAAGGGGCACTTACAAATTGAACCTGGTTGCACAATAATTTTCAATCATCTTACATTGATTGTTTAGTCTCCGGATAATGTTTATATGATAGAAACTTATTACACAATATTAATAAGTGACAGAATGGCAAATATTGCTCGATTGCATTTAAAGTGGTTCATAACAAAAAGTAAGTTGCCATGTCCTTAGATCCACCAGATGTCCTTCATATAAAATGTAGAAAATATCTATAGGTTCATAAGCTATTCTTCTATGTACTTGTAAGTTTTATTCCGTGCCCATATATCTGTCACTATCGGGCAATATGTACATAACATTTTGCTGAAAACGTCCGTCTTATTGTTTCTAAATTTTATACATCAAAGTTATCCCTCGGAAGCATTAATCACAACAAAATAACATGAAAATTGCAAACTAGGTTTGATTGAGTCTTTACAAAGTCAGGTATCAAATGTCTGTGTTGTTTATGTTGAAATAGCAATGGTATTTATATGTAACTGCAAGTCAAGTTGAAATTAAAGTAAAAATTTATGAACAAAATCGGAAACCTTCTCTAGTACATGTTTTCCCCCAAACAATATTTTACAAAACTATTGAAATATATGACGCTAATATCAATGGTATGGTGTTTTTCCTTAAGAGTGAAAAGAATTTTATCCAGGCCCACCTTAACATTTATATGATCGAAATATATCTATTTTCACATGTCAAGAAAGCCGAACGAAAAACTAATTTTTAGATTTGGTCTGTCTTGAAGTTGTTGAAATCATTGAATGTTTGATTGAATTTTCAATTTATTCTTTTCACAGTCGTACCGGGTTAACTTTTGCTCAATTAATTCAGCATATACAGTGTTCCATACCCCGTGAAATTACACACATCAAGACAGATGCTCGTCTGAATTTTGAAGATACGTGGTATTGAGAATTTTCTTCCCAGATTGCTTTTTTAGCAATCAAGTGTTTATTTGTGGGCTTGCATCTCTCAGCCAAGCTCGATTACATTAGAATACGTAGTTTCCGGTTCAAGACCGAACATTTATGAATACACCACCATAATCTGAACGAGCATGTCGTGGTGTTTTGTTCTCCTTTAAGCATTCATAATGTTGTCAACAATGCATTACATGCATACAATACATTATAATTACAGTTAGTATTGAAATGTATATGAAACATATGTACCTATAATTTTCTAAGATAGCTATCGTATTTATGCCTCAATTTAAAGAGATAGTCTTAGATTCCAGACATTTCTGCGACTTCAGTGGCAGATCTGCACTTTAAAACCCGATGAGCGACTTAATACATGTTGTAAAAAAATACTTTTTTCGATTCACCTTTAAATATTTCATTTAAACAGTATATTAAGCGTTACTAGGTTACAAGGAGTGTTTCTGTTAATGACATTTCCGTATTTTATGGAAGAGAAAACAAGTTGGTTGAGGTAGTTTCGCACCTGGACGTTTTATTAGATTGGTTCAAGTTTGACATTTACCAGTCCCTTCAAACGACACTTACCTAATGAACCACATATAAATGCAAATATTGTGGTCACAGTTGAAATCGTCATCATAACACTATATTTGATGACAGCTTCCTATATGATAGGTTTCTATTTACTTAAGGGTCTACCGTGGACCAATACTTTAGATATATTAAAGCTGTCTTATGACATCTTGTTGTTCTACAAACACGCCAGATAAAGTTTTCGTACATCAGTAGAGATATTCACTTTACTGATTAAGACCTACGTGCGCGGGAATCAAAATCAAAGGAAACCAACAATAAATCTTTAATTCTCCATTCTATGGTTTAATAACGATAGTTTTTTCTCTGATAATAATTCCTTTTGTTTTCTTTTCACCTATTTTTTGTTGTTGTATTTACCAATTTTAGAATAAATCCTGGTCATTAATCAAGATTATTTATGGTTGGTAACAGTGGTAGAAATCTCGCATCTTTAACGTGGATTAACGAATATTAGTGACACAGATGTCCAATGAGTTATGGATATCAGTTTATGAGGCCTAGTATAACACGCACAATCTAACCCAGCTAAACATTTTCATACTCTCAAGAAAAGATCGGTGAAACAAAAAACCCGCCAGTTTTTCCTTTCGTTGTTACACATACTGTGTATAATTATTCAACGATATCTTCAATATCTGAAATGTATCTTGAGGTATTTTAATGAGTCCTTACTACTGGTCGAGGGTTTGAGTTCCACAAGGTTAATTAAGGTTACAGAAATAATGCTCTTATCTTTTTAGAGAAAGCTTAAAGGGGTATGAAGTTGCAAGTGCCGTGACTGTAACGTTTCTAATTTAGCTATCCCAGAACGTTTAAATACTGTTCATGATTAACACAGTTTGGACCAAACAACAAAACATTTAAAAACCATGTATACATAAAGACAAGAGAAGACGTGGATATTTTTATAGACTTTATAATTAACCATTGATCACAATACGTTAACTTACAAGTTTCAAATAATATCATAACAATTAGCAAGGCAACAGTGAGAAATGAAATTATTCTTTTCACTCCTGGTTTTAATGCTTAAGCAAAACTTAACTATATATATACATATAACATAATTACAGATGATAATGAAATTAAAAGTACATACATGTATTCATAACAAATGAATTAAGTTAGGAAATAATGATTGGCATTGTTGTCAAGCAAGGGTTATTATGCAGCACCAAACAAGCAATGTACATATAAATAGCAGTAACTACTTTACAGCAACATGGTTAACATACATGTACAATGAAATAACTAAAATGATAGATTTATTCAACATATCATTTAACATGTCACATTTAGTATTTCAATACTGAAATCCCTATGATAAATAATGGACAATTCCAAACTTAAATAAGGAAATGTCCATTACATAAATGCACTAAAAAGGGAATTAAAGTTGGGCAAATCTGAAATCTTAGAATCATTCATTATATACAAATTTGAACTTTTAACCATTATATACATGAACATTACATCATAAATCATGTTGCTATGATAACCTTTCATTACTTAAAGACAAAAAGCAAAGATTATTCTTTAAAGTTAAAAATTATGTGCCTCAAAAATCAATTAGTAATATCATATTAACAGATCTTTCTTTGTTTGGACTGCCTACCTCACAGATCTTTCTTTGTTTGGACTGCCTACCTCACAGATTTTTTCATCATAAAGTTGATCTGTTGTGTTAAAATTGTTACAACATGATGAATATGTTTTTAAATAGCGAATAACATGATTAAAACAATGAAATTAAAGCTGTGGATCAGTGCATGATGTCAGGATAAATGAAGACTTTAATATCATGATAATGTATTGGTATATCTATGAATGAAAACTGACTGATTGATTGATTGACTGATTGATCGAGAAGTATTGAATAATCAAGTTATGTTTAATTTATAATTTAGATGACAACTAACACACTGCACAAATTAATAAAAGCAATGGTATCAACATGGAGTAGTTTCAGGTTAATATCTTTGTTATAAATAGATTATTGATGACAATTTTCATTAAAATGTCCTTGGTAATTAATTAAAACATTTAAACATCATAATTATAGAATAAACTTGATTAAATATAACATTAGTCAGTGTTTATAAGATTCCCATGAAAATAGTCATTTGCTAAATAAATTGTATCTTACATTAAGTAAACAATAAAAGTTAACATTATATAAATATAAAGAAAATGTGTCAGTTGTCAGCTCACTTAAAAACAAACCTCAACAAAAGAAGATAGTGAGACAGAGAGCTTAACTTTTCCTGCACAGTTTATAAAACTAATCTAAAATACAAAATAAACAAAAAGAGAAATTCAGCATCTGCAGATTTTACTTGAAATTTACTTTAATAATGAATTAAAAATTTTTAATTTATCAAGCCATAATAAATTTATCATTTATCATACTTCAAGTTCATTAGAATGAAATCTTGCAAAAAAACATTGTCTAAAACATGAGTAAACCAAACTTGAGAGACTATATTACACTGGTATGACAAGTTTCTTATCTAATATACAAATATACAATATTTATAGTATATTATTACAATGTATGAAGCATTTAATGCTTAGATATAGGGACAATTTGTATGACACAATGAGACAGTATGCTTGTAATGGCAAATCACATGATTACAACCTTTTTCTAGCAAAAAGTGACTTCAAATATTGTAAAACATCCAGAGATTATTTTACCATAAGATAACTACCACAGTTAAAACAATTTGGATCAAAACACCAAAAAGCTAAATATTCAATTAACAAACGCAGAGAAATAAAAGCAAATGGCATTTAAAGTAAGCATACAGTACAGAAATAAATACATTGCTGTGTTAGAGATATTTGGCTAACAAATGTTTTACCCTACCAAATAATAAAGCTAAACTTATTCAGTAGGAAAGCTAGTGGAGCAACTGATCTTGACTAAAAACAATTAGGTGATAAACTTTTAGGTGATAAACTTATTAACTTACATTATACTACACTATTTACAACAAAAACAACTCAAAATACCAGCACTGTAATATTGCACAATATCAACATAATTAACAAGTTACAAAAAGTTATCATTCTTGAAAAATCTACAGCATATAAACCACATAAAACTTTAAATCTTTTCCTGAAGAAATATTTTCCTAAAATGTCTGTCACTTTCTATAAAAGACTGGCCAAAACTTAATCGATATATCAAAGTAATGTCATATAACTATTGACAGTTTTTATTGATGTATCTAATATTACAATGTCATATAACTATTGACAGTTTTTATTGATGTATCTTATATTACAATGTCATATAACTATTGACAGTTTTTATTGATGTATCTTATATTACAATGTCATATAACTATTGACAGTTTTTATTGATGTATCTAATATTACAATGTCATATTACTATTGACAGTTTTTATTGATGTATCTTATATTACAATGTCATATAACTATTGACAGTTTTTATTGATGTATCTTATATTACAATGTCATATAACTATTGACAGTTTTTATTGATGTATCTTATATTACAATGTCATATAACTATTGACAGTTTTTATTGATGTATCTTATATTACAATGTCATATAACTATTGACAGTTTTTTAATGATATCATATAAGTATTGACATTTTTATTGATTTATCTAATATTTTAATGTCATATATTTATTGCCAGTTTATATTGATGTATCAAAGTTATAATATCATATAAGTATTGACAATTATCATTATGTACCAAATTATAATGCCATACATTTTAATTTATGTATCTAAATTATAATGTCATATAAGTATTGACAGTTTTAGTTATAATGACATTTAAATTGAGGTATCTAAATTATAATGTCATATAAGTATTGACAGTTTTAGTTATAATGACATTTAAATTGAGGTACCTAAATTATAATGTCATATAAGTATCGACAGTTTTTATTGGTATAAAAAAATCATAATGTCATGATACTTTCTTAAAATATTAGAACTCATGGGCTGGCCTTGTTGTTAACATGTTAGACTAGTAATCCAAAGATTCTGGTTGTGTGGGTTCAATCCCTGTTAGAGACAAGATATTGTTTCCTTCAGCAAGAAACTTTACACTCATTGCTCAGTACTGGTTGGTTCCTGGAACATATGTTGGAGTGTGTCTATAAGCTTAAGTTTCTAACTCAAGCAAACTAAAATTTTGTAAAAACTATAAGTATTGACAGTTTTAACAATTTTATAGAATTATAATGTCATATAATGTTGTATTGATTTTATCTTACCATGCTTATCTCATTTAAATACATGTATTATGCAGTCATTAAATAGCCTATTTTAAAGGCAATGCATTCTTACATACCAGTAAAGAGGACTTTCTTTTATTGCTCCATGGCATAAAATTAAGACTACAAATGGAACAAATTAAAAAACTTGTTATGTGAAAAATGAAAATATTTCAATAATATATGTATATTTTCTTCACTATGGCTGATACATTACTGTTCTAAATCTTAACCATCAAATACAACAATGCATTCATATTCTGCCACTACTGATCGGTAGATGAAATTATTGTTTTAATTAACGCTGCAGGTACATGTCTTTGAACTGCTCTGTCAGAGATTGTGGTGCTGTTGTTTGTACATCTCTGTATGGTAGATGTATTGTGCTGTTACTGTATGGTACAGCTTTTGTCCTGATTGAGTAGTTTACCGTCTGCTATACGCTGATCCAATCTCTCCTCATCTTCAATACTGAAAGGTGTGCAAAACAAAATATAAAAATCAAGTTAATTTTCATTTTAACATTGTATATAAATTATTATTTAAAATATACAATTTCTGTTTGATTTAATTAATTTCATTACTTTTGAATACAATTACTGCCCTTTCCTTTTATTATCATAGAATGCAATTCTGTGGAGCGTAAATTCATATCATACTTAAAGACTTCGTAATAACATATTACAAACACTTTTATTCTTTTCATGTTTATTTCTACATTAAGAGGAGAAATGTTAACCTTAAATAGACATCAAAGTACTTCTTTCACTCCCTTTGAATAAAATTTAATGTTTTTTCTTTTCTTCACTGAATTTAAAGCTAACTTTTCTGACCACTGTAAATCATTTCACATCCCTATTTATTATTATACACCACTCCTCTAGTACAATGTTATATTTTGCCACCAGAACAAAAATTAAATAAAGATCTAATTAAGTTAGAAAACTCAGCATACAATGTAATAAAAAGACTATTTGTCACCCCAATCCTTTTATAAATATATTAATTTTCTACGACAACGAACATAAAAAGACTCAAAGACAAGACATCAACCACATTGTGCATTCTAACAAATTAACACACCATCCTGGTCATAAAAAACCCGAGTGGCAAATGGAGAAACTCGTAAAACAATGTTATAACTCCTATGTCAACTCTTCCACTCATAATCCATTATAGATAATTAGGGGGCAAAGTGATTTTTGTAATATTAACCTCGGGAACTGCAACATTAGAGTTGAATAACGCACACCGCCCTGCATCGTGTACTGCATAACGCACATCACAACATGCAAGAAACTGTGCACATCTCTCAACAATAAAACATTCAGTTTATTGCCCCAAGCACTACACTGTCGCCCTGACAACTATTTAAAATATGATAATTTGCCCCTTACTTTACAAGGGGTGGGTGTCGAATTGCCTAAATACCTGTTAGGGTAATGAAATGGTAGCGGGAGGTGAAACAGTTAGCCCCCTAATTAATTGGGGATCCATTATTAAAGTTAAAGGAAAGACTGATTATAAAGTATCTTTGACACAAGCCAGTCATTGATCCTAGTCAACAAAATTCCTATTTACAAATAGTGTTAATGATGCATCATTTTCTTGCCTGTTTGTTTGTACATTATATTGGGATTATTTGTTTATACATCTCCAGTCTGTTTGTTATCATGAAAACTTGTAAATGCCAGATTCTGAACAAATATTCCATATTTACCATAAAGACTAAGGGAAAAGGCTTGTTTTTGTAACACCATTAATAGAAAATCAATAAATCTGAAACTGAACAACAGCAATAATGTTGTTCTTCCTTTCTGCATAAATTACAAAAGAATGTTATCCTTTAATATATAAATTCCTTAAATATCTATTCTTTTTGGACAAAACAATAATTTAGTTAGGGTATGTATCAACAATTTAAGAGGAAACTTACAAACAATTAACTTTATCCAATGTATCAAGCAGTCAATATTCAACAGCAAAATTAAATACATATTTGATAATTGGCACTCTGTTTCCTTCACTAATTTAATGACTAAATGATTTTTTTTCACAAGTCAATTAAAAAACAACAAAAAACATTCACTGACAAAAGTGGCACAATGTTAGAGGTAGGACTGCCTGAGAAATGGTGCAGTTTGGCCAGACTCTATTATTTTTGGAACTCAATATATAGCTTTGAATGTAACAAAATAATAATTTAAAATTGTTTGTTTGTTTGTTTTTATTTTACGCCTTTTCCCAACAGTATTTCAGTCATATAGGCGGGTAGTTTCCTAACCATCGTTCCTGGAGAGTTACACCAGTACTAGACAACCTTCCTCCGCGCTAAACTACCAAAGCATCTCCCGGGGATCGAACCCACGCCAGAGAGGTAACTGGATTAGAAGTCATCGACTCTAACCCCTCGACCACGGAGGCGGTACAATTTAAAATTAAAAGCATTAAAAGGTCATAAAACATATAAATAAAGCAGGGTACAGATCAACATATCAGCCTGCCCCAACCAGCAAAAATCAAATATCTTGGAAGTTGGCATTTCGCTTCTTTTAATTAAAAGAAAATGTCAAATTAGCAGATTTTCTCCGTCAGTCACTGGATTAACCAGGAGTCTGATATCATGTGGACAAAGTCAAACTCACGTTGCTCAGTTAACAATAGAAACGAAAAGTCAGTTTGAAATCACGTGTGGTCCCTGCTGACAAATGAGAAACATTTGACAGTTAAAGAGTTAATCCCCTTTAATCCTCTTCTAATAGAAGACATAAATACAACCCTAATTGTTTGAAAATTCAAAATCAATGACAATGGGCTTGGCTACTAAATAATTTCTCTGAGTACAAGAATAATACCACATTATTAAAGTGAAGTCTGGTAACTCGAAAATAAATGTGATTTTATTTTTTAACATATTTTATTTCTTTTGCTTCCACAAAAATTATTAAGTACATTAATGCTGGTAAACATTTTAAACTTTTCTTATTGTCCTCACATAAAACAGAAAAAGATTATAAATGAAATAGATTGCTAAAATAAGATTCTAAAATATGAAATAAATTGCTAAAATAAGATTTTAAAATATACTGTTTAAGAATACATAAAAAGGTAAATTACACATCATGCTGTCTATTTTATTGTTTATTTTTGAAAAGAATTTGCTAATCTTAGATTTGGGGAAAAAGAAATTAATCTTTATCTTCCAAATGTGTTACCATCACAACCCTAAAACAGATAAACTATTATCTCACTTAACAATGAAGCCAAACCATGCCTTCCTTTTGGCAAATGATAACATTTGTCCTAAAATGGCTTCCTACACATAAATTAAGTTAATCAATTACAGATTACTTTATCATTTGTATGGTTTCAAATGAATGATTGTGCATACAATGTTCTCACATTTAATATCAAGCCGAGCTCAAGATAATTGCTACATAACCCTTACAATGACACAGTTCAATTTTCCTCAATTATTTAGTGTCCCTAAACCTGCAAGTGTTGACAACATATTTAACAACTCAGCCAGAACTTATTGTTGCAGTGTAAGCATGAAACCCCTAATCTAACAAATAATGTTCCTTTTTTTTCTACTTTGTACATGTGTTTTAGATAAAGAGTAAAATACATATTAAGAATACATATTAAGAATTTTAGACAGAACTCTTGTTTAACAGGAGGGCTTTAACATAATCTATATGCTATCATATCTTAATCAAACTTGTGCTTTTTGTTTGAGAATGGTTAACTCTTACAATGCTAATTTTGAGTAGGTAACCAAGTTGTCAGACCATAGGAAGTTTAAAAGCCCAATAAACTTTATAAATGCTACTATCTTATTTTTCAAAGCTTTTTATAGTTTTGGTGCCCTAATGCAGTTTCCAAGAAGTTACTAATTGGCCAAAGAGCTGAATAGTCTTTTGCTTGTTTCAAGTTTTTGCAATTAGTTATAGGAATTCAGTATATTGCATGTACATGTACTTCAAAATACGTGTACCACTTTGTTTACTTTTGTTACCATTATCACCATTTATTTCACATTCAGTGCTATTTATTTCAGGTGATAAGCATCTTCCATCTTCTTAATCCATTATTAGATCATTATATAACACATGTTTGCCTTTTCACAGAAAAATATTTGTTTTCATTTCTCAGGCTGAATGTGCCTTTAAAGGATTACAGTATTAAAATAGGACAGCATATACATGTAGTAGAGCGCCTGGCCAAATAGTACTTGATCTATACTGGTTGCAAAGGTCATTAAAAGTCAATGCCAGCATTCAAAGATTTAAAATATATTATTATGACAGCAATTATACTGATGAAATTTTTTTCCAGGAAAGTGACATAATGCACATTTTTAATCTTTATCTTAAGGTTAATATAGTTATAAAACAATATTACATGTCTTTAATGTATTTATAAAACACCACCCCTGCTATGAACATACAAAAGTGTCAAAATGACAATACTAGCAGACATAGGGAGGAAAACCCATTTACTAATGTGGTAAAAAATACAGTCCATTAGTAATTGCAAGACATGGAACGGGAGAAAAAAATTCAGAAGCCAACCTCGCAGAAAATATAATTGGGTAGCTTGTGTAGCCAGGCTTTTATACTGCAGACAATATTGTATAAATTTGTCATTGGTGCGGTCGAGTGATCTTGAAAGGAAGTTGCTCGCCCACAAATACTGGTCGCCATATATTCATTAAGACCTCCGTATGAGGGTGAAACGCGGCACAATTGGTTTTTATTCAAGAGGTAAATGAGAGTAATTTTCAAGGGAAAAACATCTCTGCATTATCCTTTGCATGGGCAAACGATTCAATGTTATATAAAATATTTACTAATTTGTTAATGGAACTATTCCGGATCACATCTGTGGAATGGCTCCATTCAAATTACAATAAAACACATACTGCTTCACTGAAAATTGTCAATATTTTTTACAAAAAAAAAAAAATATCTGGAGACTTGACTGCCAGGCATAGACATTAGATGACTTGCATCAATTCTTTCCATTTGTTTTTACAGGTATGCATTTAACAAAACAATGGCAAGACATGGACACCAACAATAGCAGCATTTTTGACTAATTTTTTTATAAGAATTTTTTTTTTACCTATTAGCTAAAGATTGAGAATATGTGAAACTATAAACCAGTAATAGAGGATGACCATATAATGCAACCGTTTATTATATTGAAGATCTATTTAGGCATCTGCTCTAATCAGACTATCGTAAACAAATAAATTAAAGATAAATGTTAAGTATTAGGCAGATTTTAAAATAGCAGGATAAATAATTATTTGTAATTTTGTTTAACAAAATCCTGTATAAAGCATATGGTGTATAAACCAGGGGAGATAACTTACGCTCTCTCTTGTGAGTCAAGATGCTGGACAAGCTCATCTCGTTTGTTCACTATAACAACAAGTTCCTCTAATAACAACTTCTCACGTCGTTTTTGAGCCTCAGTTTTCTGCCAATCTGAAAATACAATAAAATATTATATTATAACTACTTTATTAGATGATGGCAAATAACGGAATGTGTTTTTCATAACTGTAATAATTGATATCCTGTATTTCTGTTGTGAAAAAAAAATTAAAACAAATTTGAAAGAAATTATTAAGTTCTTCTGAAACAAGAGATACCAAATCATACCAATCTTGAGATTTCTAAAATAAAACAAAATTTACTGAATTTGGAAAAACACTTTAGGCAAGCCATTTTTATAACAAGCAAGATTCTTTATCTTCCAATCAGAGATTATAGCATAACCTCATTTCAACTTTTAAAAATCCTCCTAGTAATGGAGAAAAAAAAAGGATTTTATATGAAAATTTGCTTGGAGCATGCCCAAGCTTACAAGGAGAGATTTAACGCCAAAAACAGGCAACGGGACAGAACGTTTCCCTTGTAGACAACCTAATGAACAATTAGCAAACGTTAGAGAAAGCTGTTTTATTCAGGCAAAGTGAGCAATGAAATCGGCTTAAAGTCTGTAATCCCCTAAGACCCAATGTTTATGTCTAAAATGTCAACAGTACAGAGAACTAAAGGCTTGTGGTGATAGCATGAAGAATAGTTGTTGTAAATATGGCTTATAAATGAACGCCAGAACAAAGACTATGTTTTCTATGATGATATTTACAAATTAGTGAAAAAGGAAAAAAAGAGGGGTATTAACTGTAATGACATAGTGTTTATTCAGTTGTCTAATACAAGACATGGTGTCCTAATGGGGCGTTAAAACAACACGTTAAACGTCTTAAATAAATTGTGTATTGAAAACATGATTTTCCATGGCTCATTAATTTTAGTATAAGTGCTAATATTTAGTAAAAATATAAAAACTTAATTTGTCAAAAATCTATAACAGTGTATTTTGATGAGCAAAAGCAACAAAAAGAAGCTTTTTTTATTAAGGTGTGAAGTTTTTTATTCTGGTATATTAAAGATGTAGTATCTATCACAGTAAGGGTGACATCAAATAGAACCAGTTTTTTTTTTCAGTAAGAATTAAAATATGCCATAATTATTCATTGTCAGACCTATACACTTTTCTATTAAAATGAAAAAAATAAAACTTATTTAAAATACATAAAAGGTCATGGAGGATATATCAATCATTTCTTAAAATTTATTCACTTCCCATATAATTTATATTACATTTAATAATAAAAATATATGTTTCTAAATAATCATGCACTAAAAACACGTAATTTTTTTATATTACTATTTTCTTTCACTATAACAAATTATGTTTTTGGTCCATTCTATTATAAATATTTGAAATTTTAAACTACATATACATGAAATTTTATCCCTTCACACCATATTTTGGTTGAAATCTTGAAAAGAACATTCTTATACTAGTATCCAACTTTCTAATTATAATAACTGGAATCTTATAATATACAGTAAAAAGAATAATACCACATTGTTACACCTCTCAATTAGATTCACTTAGAGCTGTAAATTATATTTACCAAACTATTAAATTAATTTAATAAGTATATTTGGTGAAACCTAAAAACCTTCTCATCAATATAAAATAATGTTATTATGTATTATGATCATTGATAATTTCAGATTTTAACTGTCTATTTCTTTTGTAGTATGACCATGAAAGGTTGTTCAAGTTTAATTTACTCAATAATGTTTTCGTTTCTTGATCAAAAACGAAAAATAAAGAAAAAAAAAAAAAAAACTACTTCAAGACATTCTATAATGACTTTAAAAGACAGTGGCATGTTTACACAGGCAGTTACTCTGTTTCCATCAATTATCACAGACTTTTAAAATGGCAAATCCATAGCGACAACAAGCTGACAGATATACCACCATCCAAGAATCACGAAAAATGAAATTAATTGATGTTATGGCTTACTAAATCAATTTCTAATTTTCTCCGAATGCTCAGATTGGATATGTGTCTGAAATAAGCTGCTTACGGTACTTGCAAAGGATTTTGGGTAAAAGGAACAAATACTAGAAAGGGTATTTACGTTGAAAGATTTCTTTGAATGTGTAATATAACACTGTACTAAAGGGAACTGAAATAATTGCATTGTAATTACACAGCATTACAATCTATTCATTTTCTATTTGACCAGACAACACTTCAATTTCAAGAATCATGGGCTTATTATTTTTGTACCGAACTTGTAAAGGTTGTAAGAATAATACCTTATGAAAGAAATAACAAAAATATTATAGCAAGACAACAAACTCCATTCCTAGTAATAAGTATCATTTGTCAATTTTAAATTAGCAATATGTCATGGTGTAAAGTTACAATAATTATGGTCGTAATGAAATAATAAAATGTAACAAAACAGAAATAAAATATGCATGTTTTTACATAACACTTCACAAAGTAATGCGTTTCTTTCAAAAAGAAAATTGTTCGCATTTCAAGACATAACTTCAAACAATATGTAAATGTTACAATCGTAATGTATGAAATAATTTATCAAATATAAGAAAATCATGGAAGGATGAATTTCTTGAATAATTATCACCATATGTGCTTCAATAAATACAGCAACAAACATTGAGCGTAATAAAATAGTCAATGAAGCTTGAAGGTACGAGCCCACATGTTTGGAAATGACCATGTGCCAGCAGTTAACCAAGCATAAATATCGGCAACAATCCGCCAGGGGCTGTGCGACTAATTGAATGGGCAGTCGGATAATGACTGTCATTAGAAATACCCTAACTTTCATTACTTTCAATTTTCTTTGATAGGAAGATGACAAAAATAATTAACGTCTTGTCTGACCATCAAAATAAAAATGGCATAATTAAGAAAAATTAACTTTAAAAATGTAGGAAAAGATTTTAAGATGTCTGTTTAGTAAAGACTTTTAAATGTTACTCAAAAACATAGGATAGCAGCATCATAGGGAAAATTGAAGAAAAAACAAACAACCTTAATAATTGCTTGGATATAATAAACAAAAACATGATGAAATTGGACAGACGAAAATTTTTATTAAACCCTACAATACATGTATATGTATAATTATGCAAAATAATCAAACATTCATACTTTTTAAAAATGTTACCCTATTGTAACCTAGAAACAAAATGGTTGTAATGTCTAGAATTTATAAAGCAATTTTATAATGATTTTCTTTTTTTTTGAAAGGTTTGGCGTAATATGCATACAAGGGATTATAAGAATTGATATCGAAGTCAGCTGTCTATTTATTTCCTGTAACAATCATGGAAAAAACAGTAAAATTTCTCGTTTATGAATCTACGTTGACAAGCACATGTTACAGTATGAATATTTAGATATGATAATCTCATCCATTAAGGAATAGTTTCTACGGCAACATCCTTTGATTTGTGCGCCCGATTTTGCACACATGATGTGAACATGTTGAATGTAATGTAGCATGCCTACTTTTTTCTCCCTTGTAGATAGACATGATAAAAGCTGAAATATGGAAGACTCTTGACAATTCTAACAATATATCGTAAGATAAGGTGACATAACATAAATATTCATAATGAAAGAATATATTTATTTTTTATGTCTCAAGCTCAACTTTACTTTCTTATAAGTTGGTGTAGTGTTTCCATTTCTTGATAATTCCTTATGTAAGATATAATAATTATATCATCACATTTTTCATCATGTATTTTGTTTTTGATAGAATGTGTGCTAAAATAGTTCCAAAAATATACTGAAAGAGTGAAATTTTGCATTTTTTTTTTAAATTCTGCTAAAGGCACTATATCCAAGTATGGCCATTTCTGAGATTTCAAATACGTTTTTTCTTCAATTCTGCATGACAATTTATGCTAGTACAGTCAAGACTGTCATATGTGACTTTCCAAGGGACCTTCAGAAAAAGGTCACATATGACAGGGAGTCTCTTAATACAGTCAAAATAAATGATTTGTTCTGTCCATATTTCACATCAGGAAAAATCTAATTGCAGCAGTAAAATCACACCTGAATGAGATATAACTAAACAGTTGGGGCCAGTTGTTGTGGTGTACATATCAGAACACTGACTGACAATTGGCACACGCCATTCTGTGGTGACAACCACCATTCTTGTATCAAGTTTCACCAGAATCTGTACAATGTAATGTGGGGTCTACTGTTGGACATGTGGTCACATATTCCCCTGCAGACTGGTGCAGCTTTCTGCAGGTAGTCTATTTCAATTAATCATAATTAATTCTTTACCTGCCTTATTCAAATAAATATCACCTTATATATAACTGTCAGTCACCTTGAAGAGCAATATTTCAGGGATATGACCAGTATCTGTGTGGCCTGACCTATGACCTACCAACTTGAAACACTACACAAAGACAGTGCAATACAAAATTATCATTATTCAATGTACCAAAACATTGTAATATCATCCCTTCATATTACACAAATTGAAAAACAAACAAGTGATTTAAAAGAATAGACCTTAATGCTAAAGGTACAATAAAAAAAAAGTAAAAGTGAAACTTCTTCAGTTTGATTGTGAAAGCATCAAGACACCTTTCTTTAAATATTCACAGACTAAGTAAAGATCCCACTATGTTTATAAATATTTTAGAACATAAAAATTAGAAACAGATTTATTAGTTAAGCAAACAATGATTCCACATTTTGAATGTTTGATATGTGTGTATAAAAACATAAGAGTTTCAGGTTGTATGGAATAATGACATGAACATGAAGACAGTTGGCATGGTGGACATGTATTTCAATGACTTCTTGTTCCCACCATATGGTCAGTTTAAATGTTTCCACTTCCTCTATGACCAATTATGAAGGATTAGGCCTGGCAAATAACTGTTTGCTTCAATGATACAAACAAATAATACTCATTTTTACCTAATTTGACTTTATTCCAAAAATGTTCCAATTATATTCAATTCATACAAAAAATCTATTGAACCTAAATTTTGCTACTTGTGAATAGTCAAGTTATTAGATAAGTCATAATGTATTTTATTTAAGAATAATTTCTGTAATTTTATTTTCTATGTTTTATTTTGGTAATAATTTCATATTATATTCTGAATACTTTTTACATATAAAAGAGAGCAAATAACATATTTTACAACAGACTGGTCATATTTGGAAAACAAAAGCTATAAATTTAACTTGCTGTTCTATCAAAGGTGCATTTTAAAATCTAAATCATGCAGACTTAGTAACAAATAATGACCAGTGATGATTCACTTTTTTTTCTAATTATACGGGGACAAAGGGATCTAACGGTGTACAGGTAACTTCTCTTCTTCTGTCCTAAGACAACTAATCAAGGTGAACAAGTTGTGAATGCCTGAAATCACCGGGATAATTTACTAGCTGAGATCCACCAGATGTGTGCATTTTGTCTTTTCTATAAATCAAACAATATGCAGATCAAAAGATGATCTTTGTTTCCACTCTTCTAAAAGCAGTTTTCAAATGCACTTTTCTGACTGAACAAGTGGCAATGATGAGGAAAATTACAAATGCTAACTGGCATTGAATTACACAATTAACTACATCAGATGTTTTTTAAAGTCCAATCTTCAAGTTGGTTTGTTACCCAGAACATTATATTCTTGAACAGAAACTAATTTTTTGTTTCAGATATAACAGGATACAGTAAGCATATGTACAAATACATGTTCAAACATTTGAATATGCATATAAGTGACGACTGGCAATTGTAATGAGCCAGAACTTTCTATTAAAAGATTTTTTTCTTTTGTTGTATTTTTTCAGTAATGTAGACAATAATTTGTATCTTTTTGTATACTTTGGAAGAATATTTTTATATAAAATTCCAAGCCTGATGAAAGTATTGTGTATACAAAATCAGTAGTTGCATTATACCTAATGGTAATATGTGCAAGCTAGCCTGCTACATTGTTCATGGTCTATTATGCTAGCATGGCTTTATACTGAGAACATCGGCAACAGTATGGCATTATACTGGGGGCTTGGGAAAAAGTATGACATTTTACTGTAAGCTAGCCTGGCATTATATTTGGGACATCAGCTAAGATGCATGATGCGGAGAAAAATCTTTAAATGTTATATTCAAATTTAATGCACTTGTTACTATATATAATAACAAAATTACCTATGATTTCAACTGATTATGAGTGTCACGTGACTAATTATTAGTTTGCAGCCTGGGGCCAATAAATGATAATCATAACCTGGACAAACTGAAACAATGATGTCACATTTTACGTCATCAAAACAGCTAGCTGTAAAGTGAAAGTAGGTTATTAGCTCAAATCGCTTGATTTTATAAGAATTTTAAGTGTTATTTGTGCAAACATTATTTTACTGAAATTTAAAAATCAAAATACAGTAATTTCATTGAAAAAAAATAAAACGTGTGGAATGGTATATACACAAGGGAAGCAACTCTGTAGAAGTTACTGTACAGTACAGTAGAAATCTACAGTTACTGTTGCAGAGAAGGGAATTTCAACGAAAGAAAATATTAATGTAAAAATTATATATATATCAAATCTATCAAGACATTAATACACATCATAGACGGCCGAAAAGTGATAATGAATAATGCGCTCAGGCTGAAGCCCTCGGGTCCATTATTCATTTTGTGGGCAGATAATCACCTTCAGGCCCTACTCTGCCGTGTATTAATCTCTAACTATTTCACACCATTTCATCAAGTATACATCAATAATAACAACAGTAGTATCTTTGTCAATTATACATCTTATATACTAAATTATGAGGGATGTATACAAGTCTGTAACATGCTCAACCTAATATGTCTGTAACCCCTCCCCTTCATCATTTTCCCCACCAAATGATTCTCAATACATTATAACAAGGACTCTAAAAAATCTAATTTTATATTTGAGAATAAGGCATTAAGAAACTGAATTAAATATTTCAATTAGACTGAATGCCTGTGATGTAATGCCTCCCTTATCATACAGATATTAACATCAACTTAATGCATTTTTATATCCACTCCTCAAAACAAATTTTATCATAAAATTTGTGTAACTTTTATGCAAATTATTTTAATCCCCAGCCTTATAACTAGTAACCTTTTAAACAAGAAATTGAATTCACATTTGCTTCTTTTGTATGCCTTTAGGGAGAAATAATAGTGTAAAATGATCAGTTATCATGCTATCACTCACAGACAATATCAGAATCAAGCATGCACCTGCAGTGTGCTTGTAACCATTCCAATCATTTGTTCAACCAAGATTGTCCAGTTAATTACCAATTAGAGTCCGCCCTGTGATGAAAATACCTGGTTAAAGGTAAAACTAATTACTTTTTTACAGTAAAAAAATTAGTTATTACAAAACTATCTAATAGGCAGTACATCAGATATCTCACTCTTAAATGACAAGCCTTTTTGCCTTAATTAAAACATAAGCTTCTTTCAGACCGAGCCTTAGGGAACATTAATTAGTACTAGTTTTTGTCCTTTTGATAGAATTGATAACTCAGGTAATGACTGATTTAATGGAAATATTTCATTTTGTTACATCGCATGCTAACACTCAATTTAAGCAGTCAAATGATTTTCTGTGACTTATTTTGTAAAATTCAATTGAAGAGAAAGGTTTTACCATTTGTATAAATGATGCGGAGCATTTATTACAAATTGATATGACCAATTTCAATTAAACAGATTTTATCAATTATAAAGATGTCTAAAAAGCTCATTTTGTATGTTTATTATCTTAATACATTTAATTTACAAGAAAGGAATTAAAATAAAATACCTATCATTAACACGAACAACAAGAAATTTCAGGATTTTACAACAAATTGATTTTCTATTTAATTTGATTTATAAAGTATTCTTCATGTTTATAACTACTGGTACAATTTAGTTAAATTAAAAGCAAAAATTATAGAAAAAAAAATATTGAAGGGAGATAATGCAATGCTAATCAATTCGCTTCATCAATAAAACAATAGTGATAATTCAGTAAGATAAAGAAATGATAAAAACATTAATGGAAAAAAATACTGATTTATTATTATTCATCATCAGAGTTTAGAATTATCTTCACAATATAAACATGCAAATGTAACAGTCTGTACTCAAGTGACATAACTTGTTTTATTTCTTAATGACATCCTTTTAGAACAGATTTAGATAGGGAGCAAGAAAACTTGGTGGCATTTTGTAGTGGTGCAATAATATACCAATATAACACTATATTGCAATGCAACACTGTCCTACGCAGACCACAGTATGGACCCCTTGTACCACAATTTTGTCTCATATCTAATCAAAATGTACAATCACATATTTTGATTTTTCTAAGCTATGAAACTTTATCCATGTACCAACAGTGTTTGAAAATGAGTGACATATATTAAACTATCATAAATATTTAAATAAGTTCATTATTAACAGTTTGAAATTCTTTTAACCTTTCCAAAATAAAAAGTAGCTTCTGCATTATTTTGTTATTTATTACAACTAATGTTATGCAATATGGGTTGATTGTACTGCAATATGGGTTGATTGTACTGCAATATGGGTTGATTGTACTGCAATATGGGTTGATTGTACTGCAATATGGTTGATTGTACTGCAATATGGGTTGATTGTACTGCAATATGGTTGATGCAATATGTACTGCAATATGGGTTGATTGTACTGCAATATGGGTTGATTGTACTGCAATATAGGTTGATTGTATTGCAATATGGGTTGATTGTATTGCAATATGGGTTGATTGTATTGCAATATGGGTTGACTGTATTGCAATATCATCAAATGTATTGCAATATCGCAATATAGGCTTGACCGGAACAATACACTTAAAATTGATCATCAAATCAACAACCAATCAGAATTATATAAAATTTATAAATAGATATATTACAAGGTTTATACGACCCTACCTTCAATAGCCATCATGGCTCGCAGTTCTCTGTTTAAAAGGTCAAACTTCTTCTCCAGGTCATCTTCCTTCTCACTGAAAATAAATAATATATCCAAAATATATAATTGTGTACAGGAACAATATATGAAAACTAAATATGTATTTCATCAAATGCATTACTTAAAATTTCACTATTAATATCACATTGAAATGTGTATTAATGAATAAAAGAAAACAGAAATCACTTTATTTTGAAGATTTTTTAAATTTTATACCTAATCTTTTAACAATATCATAAATGATAAAGAAAAATATTTGAGATCTCTTTTGGGGTAGTGAGCACATTAAATGTTAGGTTTATGAAGGGAAAAAAATGGAATAAAAAAATCCGAAAAAAAATTCTATTTCTACTTTTTTTTTTCTTGTTTATTTTTAATATCTATTTTGATGAATACACAACATGAGACTGAAAAATATATTTGCACTTGTACAAGGTCCAGTCATTAAAAAAAGAGAATACAACAAAAAAGAGGAGAAAAGATTACCTCCCTTTCTTACTTTCTCCATCACAAGTAAATGACAAAGAGAGTCATATGGTGGTCAACATTAAGTTTTCAGACTTTTCTTGGGCATTTCTTGGAAAATAAATCCAATTTTCATGTAACTTTAAATGTTAGAAACAGCAAGTATATATCAGCATTAAAATAATTTCTTAAACAAATATTTCCACAGGAATCATACACATTTACACAATATTCCATTCTAAAAACACACAAACAAAACACACAAATACAACATTTATTTGAAAATTGAGCTATTAAATTTCTCCAAGTCAAAGTTTTAATAAGGACTATTCTTTTCTTTTCTCTTATGCTACTTTTATAGGGGAAAGCCTGAACCAAATCAGATTTCTTAGCCGGCATTAATGTAATGGGTTTAAGTCTACAAGATGATCATACTTTCTTAATATACTTAGGGTATTTTCAAGCTATTCTCTAAGGATCTTGGTGTATTAAGCCAGCTATTTAGTCAAATACCATTGATCTTCATGTATATCATTATTATCACTTATTGTATGTTATTATTACAGCAGATTCAGCCCTGTATTTTAAATAATGGCTTCAGAATATTTATGATGGAAGATTCTGTGCTGCTAATACCTACTAATCTTCTTAAAGCTTTAGCTGAGCTGACAACATCGCCTTTCTATGTGATAACAGTCCCGATATATATACTGCTCACAATAAATACCTCGATCACTCAACAGTGTGTGAGTACAGAAACGTATAAAAATTCTCTTTTACAGGTATATAGTCCTTCCTTTGCCTTAAAAAAAGATAGTTCTCGACATTCTTGTTTATATGATGTTTCATGAAATATAATAATGTGACAGAAATCATAGGCAACTATGTATGAAACAGATTGTAATTTCACAGTTATGAAGAAATTCATTAAATATACTGCTCACAATAAGAATGCTGGTTCCATAACTAGCTTGGTACCTTTCATATTATATTATTTATTACATTAGTACTGGGACAAATAATTCACCCAACAACAAAAATATCTTAAAGCTGCAGATATTGATCTTAAATAAAACACAATCACACAATGGCAGACATGTATGTAATGTATATATTATGTCTTGAATAATTTTGAAACCATGGTAAGAGTTACAGTGATGTGTAGTTCAAGCAAAAGAGAACAGGATGGAATAAATACCTTTTTTTTTTAATTTTTTTTTTAAATATATCATACCAGTGGACATGAAACTCAAGTTAACATAATAATTTGTATGTTGTTTATTCTATGAAATACAACATAACTTTGTTTTCTTACAGAATTGTTCCATGTTTGATAAAAGAACAATGAGACTGACAGTAATATAATGCTACTTTCAGAAACATTTTTAATGGGAAAAAAAAGAGAGATATTTTCTGATATTTTTTTCTCCGACTAATACCATCCTCATCTTGATGGATCCCGAAAGACGTCATTTCCAATATGCTTGGAATTGCAAGCCGATTACACTAAGAATGTACAAATGAGGTCCCTAGATAGAAATCTGACACACGAAAATACTTGTAAAATCGTCTTAGTAAACTTAAGCCTCTCAGCCTGAAGCTTCCAGCATCCTCCCAGAAAATTCTATAAATGGAAACATTAGCTGGGACTGGTCGCAAAATATTTTTACATCAAACTGTCATATGACTGGTTCTAAGGAGTATTTAATTTGACTGGTTCTAGTAAATGGTCCTATATCCTCCTTTTTTTTACTTTTAATCCTAACATTTAATTTTCTTGAAACGTTTAGTTTTCTCTGCTGCCAACTTTGAAAAAAAAAGAAAAAAAGTGATAAGATTCATGTCATCAAAACATATCACAATTTATTTACTGACCAATGTGTTATACAAAATACAGGGAATCTTATTGATAATTTAAAAAAATGTTTTTATTTATATAGAAATGAAGGGAAAAATAAGTACAACAATTTCTCCTTTTGCAAAAAGTATCAATATTTTCTTATCACTGTTTAAACAAGCCATGTTAGAGATAAAGAAAATATTCTAATCCCTGATTATGACAACTTCCCTTCAATTACAGATCATCAGACCCTGAACAAACAAAATCCTGAAACATTGTCAAGTAATTCTTCCTTATTTAACACCTTTGCATTTCATGTAATGTTTGACCATTCATTACCTATCATGAAAATTGAAAACAATATTGACACCTATTTATTTGTTGACTATTAGTGAATGAGAGAAGAGTAAATAAACTATCAAACAGAAAAACAGTATTAGTGCCAAGTACTGACAGGTGTACATGGTGCAAAACAGTGCTTTCTGTCAATTTTGTAAAATTGAAAAAAAAATATGAAAGGAAAGGAAATATCTTGAAAATTTATTCTAAATAAAGAATTATAATTATATATTAGTATCAAAGATTTAGCTTCACCCCAGCCCAAATGAATTTTAGCTTTTTAACAAAGATAATTAATTCACAAACTTATTTTATGAGAATACAAATTGAATTGTTTAACAATTATTTCTCAACAAAATTTTTGACTATTTTTTTCATATCAACAATTTTCAACAAATAGTTCTAACTGCTACATGATATTTTCTTCAATTTTTTTATTAACATACAAGTTAAAAGTTAACTTGTTAAAACTGTAAAAATGGAGCTGTATTGCAATATATATTTCAGTAACAATGGCTTTATAAGCAATTTTTGTAATATAAAAACCCCATCCCCCAGCTAACAGTAAATATTTTCCATAATTTGTGGCAGATAAACTGTAATACAGCAATTAAAAAGTATTATAGGGCTGTTTGTTCCATTTTAAGCCCGGCTTATGACGACTTTAAAAATGATTTTTCAGTTGTACACAAAACATCACTACTATTGTAATGTCTGTAACTATTACTTCAATGGACGGTCTGTAAGAAAATCTAGACCAAAGTCTTCCAGCGGTAGGTCTGTGGCGACCATATGACCAACTTGTATCGGAAACGTGCCAAATCGGGACACTGATAGGAATCTAGTAAAGTCCTTACATTAATACTCTATGATGGGATTAGACCCCCTTACTAAATTTTAATCTTCTTTAAAAGTTCATAGCTGCTTAGTTGTATAACATTTACAGAGACTACCGAAAACAGTTATTTAAGAAATATGTCGGAAATATTTCAATGTTTATATGCAAGTTGTTAAGTACTTGATGTTAGTCATTACTCATACTGGGATACAATTAAAGTGATATGGTCATCACAAATATTTGGAGGACTTCTGAACTAAATGGTCACTAATGAACATAAGTACCGACATTTTTTCTCACTGACCTATGGTAATATTAGTAATGATTAGCAAGCCTACAGTGGTCATTGTGAAAGAATTTGTGCACATAAATAACACCTGTAGAATTTATGTGGTTTAAGTACACTATTTTAATGATGATGATATTTCATTTAAAAGAAGAAATATTTCCCGTATTTCATGAGTATACAAAGTACATAAAAATGTTAAAAGATTCTTCATCAAAAGATAAGGGCAGGGTTTTTCAAATAGAAATTTGAAAGACCCTGATAAAAGGGAGAGAAAAATTTACTTTTTAATTCAAACTTCCTGTAACATTTACAGTGAAATTTTAAAAAGTTGATTTGCATAAAATTTATTGTTGAGATGTATATAATAGATGATTGTATTAATCAATAGACGTACATGTAATTACATAATTTAAAAGATGAGATTGAAGTCTCAAATTTCATTTCTTAATTGCGTAATTTTTAATTGCCTCAAAGTGATGTACGTTTATATTCTTATATGCATATAACATCAATGGTGCCAAATATCTGTGGAGAAAGTTAGGATGTTTTCCATCGTTCGCACCAATAAAAGGCCATGAAAAATTAAGCAAACAAAATTTCAATTTGTGTCCGATGTCAAACACAACTATACAAATGACCATGATGTTTGTTCCAGTTAATTATGAAATCATAATGTGAGAAGTATAAACATTTCTGAAACTGACTAGAGGTAAAGTGAACATCAAGCAAATAAGTTTTGATTGCCTTGGTTAAACATGTGTATGTACAAAAATCATGACTATCTAAACTTAGCTATTGACATGAGGAAATTTGGAGTGTTTGGCCAAAATTTGCACTATCCTAATTAAACATTAAATCCATCCTACCCGGCATACCGCGCAGGAAAACATTACGCGATATTGACAATTAACCAAATTGAACAAACGTGGTCAAATATTGATTATTTAACCATGCTGGGACAAAATGAATATGCTCACGCCCCAAGTGTCCACTTAAGACTGTGGTCAGCCTAAAAATATACCATTTCTTTATAAAGAAATATGAAAAAACGCCACTAAAGCTTTACTGAACTAAAATAAAGTTAAATGAGCTTTGGTTAGGTCATTTTTATTAGGAACAATTTTTGCTAAGTGAAATATGACCTTGTGTTAAAAATTGTTTTCTTTTTGACCAGTTGGGCTGTATTGACATGATATTTTCTCTAAAAAAACTATCCAATAAATATGAAAACAGAACAGCCACGTTTTTATTTGACCTTTCCTTTACAATAAAAACTCTATAGAATGGTAAGTGTTTGATTAAGATTTGAAAGTTGCTGGTTTGAATAAGTTACACAAAGGCTTAAAATGTTTCTGCAATGATGGAGCTTTAACAGGTGTCCAGACTTCCACCAATTCTAGTTAAGCTTATTTCTATAGTATTACACCATCCACGGTATGTCCACTGTAAAAATTACTACTTTATGTACATACAGATTTAGAGCAAATACTACCATGTCAGAGGTTCTCTGTACCAAATCATTTTAGCTTCCTCCAAATGAGGCTTCATGAAATATGTTACAGTATGGTGATTTTCAAAACTTCTGTTAGAAAACTATTATTTTTCAAGATTTATTACAATTTCCAACACTTATAATTCCTATGTCATTTGAAGTATCTTTGTTTAATACCTGTCTTCTCTATGAAGAATATTTATTCATTAAATAACAATATGCAGGAGGAATTATTTTTACAATTTAAAATCATAAAACAATTTTTTTAACTTGATTACATTACTACATTGAAAATATGGAACATTATTTTCTTAGAGAAAGAAAGTCTATAGAAATCAAGCTGTTTATTTGGTAGGCTCCCATCTCCAATGTCAGCTATAAAACATTATTATTGTCTTTATGATAAAAGGTGCACTGTTCCTTTAAGATATATCATTAGGTATAAAGATTTTTGACAGGTTATATGGCCCTTTATGATACTGCATGTTTGTAATGTCGCTTTCCATTGTTTGTTTGTTTTTGGGTTTTACGTCACATCGACACAGTAACGTAAAACCCAAAAACAAACAAACAATGGCCATTGGATAATTGTGACGTTTATATAGTTTTATATACAGGGCTGTTGTCGATTCATGAACAAATCTTACTTTTTTCTATAAAAAATGATGTTTGCTGTTTATATAGGGCCATATAACCTATCAACAATCTTTATAATTAATAATATAAACGATTGTTTGCATATATAACTCAAGCCACTAGATGAGGGTTACATTGCAAAGAACTGTTTATATAGGTCATATAACCTGTCAGGAATATTTTTAACAAATTTATAATACAGCAAACTTCCTTTTTATAGAAAAAAGTGAGATACCTTCGTAATTTGACAGAAGCCGTGTATATAAAACATCATGATTGTCCAATGAAAAGCGACGATACAAACATGCAGTATAAAACACATGATACTTGTCTGAATATGTAATAAACCAGACTGTTGTGTCTTAATGCAAATAAAAAGTGAGCTGCAGTGTATGCATAATTTTTGAGCAGAATGCAATCAGCGCATGATAAAGTCAGGATGTTACAGTGACACAGTATCAGCTATATATTTTATGTTCAAATTATATTTATTTCAATAGCAGCACTTAACTCTTTCCCCCATGAGCATATTGTAAAAAATGGCCATTTTCACTGAAAAGCCTCCCCTTACAAGTTCAAACTGCTATGAAACAATGAAAAATACTTCAATACTAATCAAACTTGGCACAAATGTTGACTGGACCATTGCCTTTGTAACGACATGCTCAGTCTTAAATTTCCTGTTACCATGGCAACGAGGGGACATCTCAAAATTGCCAAAAAACACTATTTTGCCTCGATTTTTTTCATCAAAATTTATTTCAAAGTGCTGCAACTTCACAAGGGATTGAGATAGAGTCAAAGGCTTTTCAGCATTGGTTACACGTTATCTTATGACCGACCTGGGGTCATTTTAAGCCTCTCACAAGTCCAATATTTTCTTGGCGATGAGGGGGACTCTGCCCCCCTTCAAACCCCCCAAACAGAAGGGGGCACATCCCCCCTTCTGGCAACCCCCTGATGTATCTTTTGAATGGGGGGGCGGCGCCAAAAAAGTGCTCACTTTCTTTAGCAACATTTCTCAAACGAAAACATGTGTTTGGGGCCCAAATAGGACATTTTTTCACAATATCAGGCCAAAAAAAAAGGGGGGGGGGTCGAAAGTGCGTTGTTTCGCCTATATATGAGGTAAAGGGTTAAAAGCTTATAATAATAAACACACAAATGAATGAACAACTTTTTGTACATAAAACGTATTACACAATGGGTGTATTGTAAGAGTACCTTGATAGAGCATAACCCTTTAGCCCGCTGGCAAGGACTGTATCTACCCATGAAATTAATGCAGACTAGTATTGGCTGGCACATTTTTTTTCAATGAAAAAATCTTACAATTTTACATTTTAAGGTGGTTTTATGACTTAAGAAGTTACCTGACTTAAAATCTAGGCAGATATATAGATAACCATCTTGAACTGTATAAAAGAATACATAAAATTTACATGTCCCAAGCTTGATTTATCTATTACAGTAATATTGTTTATACTTACAGTATATTAAGTTGCATCTGTCTACGTATAACTGCATTCTTCTTGTTGACTAACATAAACCATTCCTGTAACAACTTCTCCTCCTTTGCCTTGTTACTACCTGAAAATTACATCATTTTTATAACTGATATGCATTCTACAATGACTTCTTTAACGACAAGAATTTGATGATTTTGATAAATACAACTTATATAAAATAGAATGCAGCATACTTGTTAATATTTAAATTAACAATACTAATTTAAAATTAACATTAAAAAAATTTTTATCTTGCGACATAAATTTATATTTATTTCACGAGTCGCAATAAACTTCAGAATTTTTTTTAATTTCTTTAAATTTCCATAAGAAAAGACGGTGTCAAAAGAATAAGAGTCTTTTCATTGATTATAGTAAACGTAACTTCCTTTTAAAACATTTGTATAACGTAAAGTTACGTCATAAAAGCACGGCTCAAAGCAGCTTGCCTCAAGATTCATTCTAATCTTAAAGTATTCCAAACAAATAAAGTGATCTGACTTAGTTTCAGGCATTTTATTTTCAACAAGTTTATCATTATTCATAAGCTTAAGCTTAATTGTTCTGAAAATTCATTACATATACTTGTATATACATTTATAATTATGGTATACTGGTATTTGAACAGTTTTATGAACATGTACAGATTTATACTTACAGCTGTAAACATGAAGCAAGAATTCAAGCAATTTAGAAGAAAAAAAAACATCACCATTAAATAAAAACTTGTAGCTCAGATAGAAACAGTTATTATTTCACAGAAATGTTATGTTATTCTTGCATAAAGCTGATGCCCCTGGCATAGATTAACTGAAAAGACATCATACATGCACTGCCAACTTAGATTTTTGTCTCACACCCAATGTCCAAAAGTAAAAAAAAAGTTGACATATTCCATAGTACGTAAATAAACCATATCTTTTGTTTTAAAAACAGATCACATGTAATAAACATGATACATGTATCTGAATTTTCTTATTACAAGGTTTGGTACCTAAAAATGCTTCAGTATTTTTTAAAGATGTTTTAGCATGAACAACATGCGTTTTACATTGAGCATACTAATCCACTTTTATTTAAAAACAGAAAGTTATTATTTGGCACTGCAAGAAAAGAAAACCATTTTGAGAAAAAAGAAAAAACATAATTTCTCATGCTGAATTCAATGCATGTCAATAAATGCTACAAGCATGTAGGACCTACAGATAACTTCATTTAGAGGACCAAAATCTATCTTATCCTTAACTTGATCCATCAATCCAGCATTTTCATCTGTAAAATATCTCAATATATTAAATCAAAATCTTATATACAATTTGTGTAATATCAGCAAAATTGGACAAAGGGAGACAAATGTGCAAAGTTAATGCAACATAGCCTTGGTCAAAGGGAGACTATTCTGTATTAAATGGATTAATAGATATAGTATAAGGGAAAAAACCCAAATAACTTACGGTTAACATTCTTGCCTTCTGCTTTAAATTGTAACAAAATAATGCTTTAAGGAAAAGATTTGAAAAAAAGTTTCGGAACAGAAAAAAAAAAAATACACCAACTTCTTTTCATTTTTTTCTAAGAAAAATTGTCTTAATATAAAGAGCTGTCGGTTCATTACCTTATGCACATTACTGGGGGTATTTTTATTAGTTATTGGTTTTACTTTTAGCTAGACAAGTACTTTTTCCCCCCAAATATTTTCACTTTTAACAAAACTTCTAGGCAAAAATACTGAAAGAGAAGATTGAAATATCCAAAACAAACAATACTCTACCTACTTCATAAAATGAAATTGCTTTCAGATAAAAAAACGCTATATGTGATCCCCAAAAAAGCCAAACCAAATCATAATGTGGAAATGTGAAAATAATTGATAAAGAACTTACTTTTCTCCATACATCTTCGTAACTGTCGTTCGAGTAAGGCAGCTCTACAATCTATCTGTGCTTGCTCTCTCTCTAGATTCTCCATCTCATTCATAACATATTGGTTTGTATCTTGTAAGTTCTGAAAAACAAGAAATACAAATGAGCCGTGTCACGACAAAACCAACATGGTGCGTTTGCGACCAGCATGGATCCAGACTAGCCTGCGCATCCGCGCAGTCTTATCAGGATCAATGCTGTTCGCTATCAGTTTCTCTACTTTTACCCATTATGTTGGTTTTGTCATGGCACGGCTCAAATATTCTAACCTTGAAACTATACACTGCTGAAGATGTACAATGATCATGTCCTGCTTTTGCTTCGAAAATGTTCACAGTTATTTTATCAAGGAGTTTCAATAATAAAAAGATTAATATGAACACCTTTCACAAAGGTCAAACTAAACAGCTTTCACAAAGGTCAAACTTTCAAAACAGCATTCAGAAAAGCATAACTAAAAAATATGCCGACATTACATGTGTATCTACTATAACCACATCAACTTTGAATTAAGCCTGTGTATACTTAAAAGAATGGTATTTAACAGCTTCTCAGACTGCTTGGACAAGTTATCAGTCCTGGTTCTATGCTGATGTCACAGGACTGTCACCATCACCAGTAGCATTCATATTCAAAAGTAATTTATTTGTCAATAAAGATTATCATTTGCCTAATTAAAAGAAAATCAAAAACAGAAATTTGCATAATATTGCATGAACATTTTTTGAATTTCAGTACCTCTGCTTGCCGTAAAATATCTTCAATGTCAAACTCATCATCACTTCCCCCTTCATCTGCGAAAGGACTTTGTTCTAAAACATTAAAGCAGTATTATAATTTTCACTGCATAATTCAATAGAAAAAGCAATAAAGAACAAATACATGCATATGTTTGGGTTTACAAATAATCAATGAAAAACATGTGCTGCTCCTATGACCAAAAATGGCTTATCCGATGTCCAAAGATCTTAAGACTCCCTACTACTGATAAAAACAATTGGAGGACAAAAATCTTTCATGTTATTAATATCTACAAAATTAGGAAATCCCCACAGATAAATCATAACCTAGTTAGTATTTACCTCTGGAGTCATTATCATCAAAATCTACACTAGTGAATGAAATTTGTTGTTGTGGATTAACTGGACGTCTTGTTCCTTCCTTCTGAGAATCTGAGGGTGGCTGCAACGATGAAAATATTTATCATATACAAGTATTCTTCTAATTACAGTTACTAATAGTCATTTCTCATAACTTGCGTGGGCAAATTCTGTGTTTGTCATATCATATCTTTAAAGATTTAAAGATTTTAAACAGTCATTCCTTATTACAGTTGCATTAGCAAGTTTTTAAACTTTCAAGCCTTGAAGGATATGGTATGACTGAAAAAAATATTTTACTGAAATAGCAGGGTACTAAATCCACATCCCTTTGACTAGCTGACTGACCATCTATCTGCTTTTAAAGTTTACAGTGTTTTGGAAAACTTATCATTACTGTATAATCAATCATCTGCCATGTGCACAGCAAATATGACACAATATGACTCTTGTTGAAGGCAGAATTACTGAATACCATTAATAATTAGTAAAAAGTAAATAGTCAACTGCAAAATTTTAAAATTCCCTTTAATATAACTAAATACCTGAATACCATGAAAGCATTTTAATATACCGTTTCACTTTGTTGTGCTGGAGGGAATTCTTTCTCAAATCCAGGAGATATAGGTGATGTTAGCTGTATCTTGGGTTTAGCTAGACTTAACTTCTTTAACTTGTGATCTGATTTAGATGAACTTAGTTCCATAGATGATCTGGCACCATCAGGTTGTTCTGTAGGGCTTTCTGCTACAATCATAGTATATCATTATTATAAAACTGACACACAATCTATCTGTATTGATATGAAAACAATTACCTTGGAGAACCTCAATTCTAGTTCATGCAACAATAACTTTTTTTATTAACATTATGCAAGAATTTCAAAAATCATCAGCAGTTTACTTTAAGATGAAATTAGACTAGCGTATAAATATCATTTATCACTTTATATAACTTACTTAAGTTTCAAGACTATAAACAATGGCATAACTTAAACTAAAGGATGTTCTGTTGATCTCTGCTAATGAAGGTAAGTAAGTATGAGTTTACAAGAAAATTGTAAAATAAAGAAAGTGTGGATCATCTGTGCTTATATACCATAAAAGGGTGTGAAAATATGTGTGAGTGAGCTATGCAGAAAAATCCAACTCAACTAAAAATTTAGAGTAAAAATACTTCAAGTTCTGTTCCATGCTAAATATTAATTAAGTACAAAACCAACAAAAAATGCCACCATTCTTTTCAACAATGACTATTGAAAAATTAATTCCCAATGATAAGGATGACCAAACAATACTTGGGTATTTTATATACCGGTACAACTATTATAGTTTATCATACACACATGCCGATTTTACGACTCCGTAAATATGATATTGCACGGCCGTGCATATATTTTGACGTGACGTCATTAGCGTTATACAAACATAGTGTAAAGACGCGCTAAATGTTAGCGTTATACTATAGGCGTGTCGATGAAAAATGACTCTTATTTCACTTTAACGGTCTTTATTTTGGGTATGTGATAAATAGAATATTAAATTTGTGAAAGTTCATTGCTGAATTTATTGCACTCGTTGAATAAAATAATATTACTCGCATGATATAATTTTATTCAACTCGTGCAATAAATTTAGTATTGAACTTACACTCATTCAATATCCTCTATATATATATTGCATTATCACTCTATGTTGTTTTAAGTTAAATGTTCTTCAACCCAATTTTTCATCACATGATAATTTATGTCAGGTCCAGTATTATATTAAGGTAAAAATTTTAACAGAGTCATTATGATGACACTCACTCCCTGTAACACAAGAACATTTGACTATTTTCGAGCTATAAAATTCATAAGATCTACAGGACTTCATTTATGAAGCTTCTTTCAGTTCTATAATTCTTCTCTAAGAGCTAGGAAATTATACTGTTTAATGTTGTATGTATAGTGATGGAAATCTTGAATATTGTCTAGGAAACAGGAGATGTGTTAGTAACATGACATTAGTGTAAGACTACAAACTACAATAGTGTGATATCATTCAATGCTTGCTAGGGTTGATTATGCCTAAATATCCTTCATAATACTTATATTATACTTAAATGATACATTAAAAAGCAAAAATTAACTTTGATATTGCACAAGTAAATTATTAACCAGTTAATAAAAAAATACCCATGCCAATAACAAAACACCAGTCCTGTTCATAAATAATAACCCTTGACAAAAAAGAAAGCAATATTTAACCCTTTACCAAATGAAATATGTAGCTTTCATTTTTTGGAATTGTCATTTACTAACTGTACAGATATCAAGATGAAGAATTGAAGTTGTTCAGCCAACAGTATAGAGCCTGGTCAGACTGCATGGAAGTGCAAGCTGGCCTGGCTCTATACTTGTGGCAAAGAGTAATTACTTTCTGTTTAGAAGGCTAGAGAGTCAAGCCTGATCTGCATACTTGGATGAACCCACTATTTTCAAATATTTTGCCAATGTTTAAAGGAGTTAGCTATTATAGATACCTAGTACAGAATTACCAAGTTCTCCACTATATAATGCTTGGTTAAACAACAAAGTCTGAAATCTAACAAAGCCAAAAATTTAGATAAAATATACCAAGTACATGTAATTAAATACTATACAAACTGTTCAATTATAACTGTAGTTTGACTACTGGTATATACTAAAATATATATACAGTCGACTCCACTTATAACGAACTCGCTTATAACGAATTATCGTTAATAGCGAACTAAATCTGATATCCCCGGCAGATTCCTTCTTTGTTTTATATTAAATCACATCGCTTAATACGTACTCGCTTATAGCGAATTTTCGGCTATAACGAACCATTTTTCAAGGCCCCAAATGACGGAAAACATTTAAATTTCTTCGGTTATAACAAACTGTTATAATTGAAATATCGGGATGCGATCAATTAGGATCAGTACACGAATAACACTATCCGATAATTAAACAATCGAATGATTGCACAGGTTAGTTATGGCTTCAGGGAATAAAGATTTTGAAAAATGTTCTCACAACATAATTTCCTACTTGTTACGGAAAATTTGTATTTCACACCCTCAGTTGATTGATGTAAATGCCCGATAATTGCCAAGTAATCGACTGTTTGTGTTTGCAATATTAACCAAACGATAATAAACAAATAGCAAAAGAAAACAAATGGTAAGAACTTTATAGACAATACATGAATTAATTTATGTACCATGTACATAATGTATTGCTCAATAAAATGCCCTGCATTAAATAACCATTAAATAACCGCTGCAGTAAAATACCGGTTACACAGGTAACCAGTGAAGAGTATGGCTTTTTCACGGCAAATTTCCCCATCCAAACAAGTCAGAAAGTTGTTGCTACTTCGCTTTTAACGAACTTCGGATATAACGAACGATATTTTAATGTCCCATTGAGTTCGTTATAACCGGAGTCAACTGTAAATCTATTAAAGAAAACAGAAATTTTTTTCTTACAAAATTTTGATAATGAATAAATTAAGAAAATAAAATAAAGTTTTCCATTCACAATGCATGGAGAATCTGAAAATTCTATGTGTGCTTGAGGAAAGTGCATGCATCAGTTATGATAAGTTATAGAGATAGGTATATCTACTTGTGTTATCCAGGTACATACTACATACCGTGTTGACGAACATTCAGGTAAGACCTCAGTAATTGACGTGTGTAAAGTGGAACTAATAAAGCAAAGTGGCATAATGCATATAGAAATATAGTAACAACATATCACATTACACATTTGAAATGAAAGGATTCATGGTTAGGTAACAACAATCAGAAGGAAAGAAAATAACATTTAGTTCTGAACATTCTGAAAAATGGAAGATCATTCTCGAACAATAAAAAAAGTAATTTATTTCAGTTTTGAAAAAGTCTCAAGAGTTCATCAAGCAAGGGAAAACATTAAGTTTTGAGACACATACAGAAGAAAAGTTTCATTTCAAAACAATAACAGCAAGTGCACCTCCCCTCTCTGTGACTCCCGTCCCCTATCTGTATTCCCTTCCCTTGAGCATAACCAAGTAAAAACATGCGGCATCAAACTCAAACTTTTATTTGAACAATATCTCTATGATTAACGCTTCAAGTCAGTTAGGATACTATCAAAAATAACTCATTTTACATGTACATTCATAAGTTGTATTGTATAATCTTTCCTTCCATCTTACAAAACAAAAAGATTTATCAACTATACCTTGTTAATAAAAAAAACAATAAAAGAATATCATAATAGAGGTAATGTTCCAATGTCCATGCGGTTTAGTATATAACTTAAACAACTCTATTCTAAAACAAGTGTGATTTTTCAGAAAGGAAATCATATAATGTATAATAGTGTAACATTCGCAAAATCACTGTATATCTGTATGTCTAGTAAATAAGAATCTTACACTGTCTACCAGTACAGACCGGAATATCTAGCTCGAGGGTAACCGTTTATGGTGATAACGAGGCTCTGCTCGACCTGTCTTACAAAGGGGTTGTAAGACAGGGTTTATTATCACCAGTATAAACAGTAGATAAATATGTCTGATATGCAAGATATTTTACAGTAACACTTTAGTAGTGATAAAGAACAGATAAAATGGCTGCAATAATAATATTTGTGATCTTTTTTATCATGACCACGGATTTATATTACAAGGATCGGACACTATCGTTTAGCTTAAAATCTCGCCGCGCGCATGCGCGGAATCGCATATCGGATAAAGGTGGACAGAATGAGAGATGGCGGAACGCGCGGAGTGCGAAATATGACAGATTTTCACAAGAGTATGTGGTGTTATGGCAGCTTTGTGAAAATTTTTACACATATTAATGTATTGACACAGTATTATTTTGTGTCGCTAAAGTATTAATATATGAAAATATTCCGATAGAACGCTGCAACGCTGAGTTAAAATAGTACCTAATTTAAAAAATATTCGCCTATTGTTTAGGCATACTCTCTACACTTTGACGCCCTTTTACTTCAAGCACAAATTATTACCGCGATTCAGATTAAGATAATTATTTTCTACATGGTTTAATGGTTGCAATGCAAAATTTTTTTCTTGTTTGTTTAAATACTTTTAAAGAAATTCATGTTTGAAATTTGTCTTTTTTTCTGTGAATTTTTTCCAAATGATTTGAACATCTTTTATTTGATTACCTGAATATTAGTATAAAAGTAGTATTCTACTAATTAGTGTATTAAATATATTATCAGATCATTGACAAAAGCGTTCAGTACATAGATGAATTCATCATATTGGCAAGGAAGAAACATTTTTTTTGGCATACAGAACAACTGTTTTATAATATTATTTTTTATGTTGACACAGAATTTTTTCATAGTTATCCTTCACAATTCCCGTCAAATGATTTATTTGGAATGAAAGGACTTGTATATTTTCAATTTCATTTATAAATGTTAATAAAGAAAATAGATTTACATTGTATTTATATCTATCATCTTCATAATTATTTTCTTATTACACATACAATGGACTGTAGTTTAAGACCGCGCACATACAAAATATACATTCAAATTCTATTTGTTTTTGAAGTTTGATTGTTGCAATTATCACATGCAACCTGGTTAGATACTTTTATTTCCTCCAAAATTGAAGAGCATGAACATATATACAAATCAAATAACAAGCAAAAAAGCAGTTACATTATATATAACAATGAACATTGGTGAAATATTTTCATTTATCCAACATCACAATATGCAATGCATTTAAGATATCACTTGTATACAGAAACCTTAACTCGAAATCGAAATATCAAGATTCCTACAAGTTAACAAAGACATGTAAAGGTACGTATATGACAAAATCTCATCCAATAAGTCAATGCAATAAAGGAATATCAATGACAATATATACCACGTGGGATGATAAATATAGAACTAAACTTAACACTATATTTTTATCATATTCCGTGCTTAAATAGTTTTACTTAAATCAGATCCACTTAATTTAAGTCTATCATTTAATCACCTTATACAAGCACTTTGAAACTGAATAATTGATCAACATTTGATCGTCATTTTCTATAGCAAGCTGAATAATACGCCAACACTGATCTAACGGTTGTAATGCAAGTAAGGCTATAAATGTATTTATTCCGCAAGTATCTATAACTGAGTTCCAAAGATAGGACATATTCTTTTCGTTCACCGCACAAAAACACATAAGGTGGATGATAATATTATCACAAAATAATTTACACTTGTTGCATTTGACAACAAAAGATGGAGCAAGAAAATACCCTATTGTCTCCATTAAGAAAGAACATACATATCCAATCTTTATGTTATTTCTGGAAATTGACCATAATAACGCCGGCTTATTACAACTTATGATATCACTTATTTCTGGCCGTATTGAAGTTAATCTATCAACTCGTTTTGTGCTTGCTGTAGAACCTACAACATTCTGAAGTGTCAATTTCAAAGAAATTTAAGCGATGTCACGGATTTATATTACAATATAAATCCGTCGCGATGTGTAAAAAATAATCAACAGTTACTTTTATTTGGCATAATACTGACTCAAACTGTAAAGATTTGTTTTTCTAGTGTTACATTAAAAAATATCAGAAATATCTTTCTACAGGCATTCAAATAAAAAGAATAATTAAAATATACGAGTGACATTAAAAAGGCCGGAATCGAGACAGCCACACGAGAGTAGGGCCTGCTTTACTGTTACGATGATTGTCTATTTAACTGCACCGCCAGATAATAATGATGTAAATTATGAATGAAATTTTAATATTGTATGAATATGGCAATATTAAAATCTCGGCAATATTTTGTACTAAAAAAATGAATATTTTCTTCACGTGTTGAGCGAATTGTAAAGCCCGCAATACATTACCCGTAAAACAATTGTGCGTTAATAAATTTGACTACATAACCCAATAAATCTTAAATATTGCATCTTTGATCATCTGTGAATAACTTACATCGGCTTCTTTTTTATTTTGAAATTGAATTTATTATGTGTCCATAATAATTAATTTCAAATACCTGCTTTTTATATAAAAAATGTAAATTTACCGCGGATTTCGTCAAGTTATTTTTTTTAATCGCCGTTGCGGACAAATAAACTATACCTTTAAAAAATAAATTAGATATTTGAATTAAACAAGTATTTTTCTTCAAAATAAACTTTAAATTTCCAAAATCGGATAATAAATGGAAAAGCTATATGGTATTTTGTAAAGTAGGTATCCGTTGCGAACGGGCATTTACGCTTAGCGCCGGTAGATTATCGATCGATGTACCTTTATCGGGTGCACGACAAGATATTTAAGCATTTATATAGGGTTAACTGGGAGTGTCCGATCCCTGTAATATAAATCCGTGTCATGACCAACGATACATAGTAAGATTACTAATATTTTTACCTGTTTCTTCTATATTAAGGGCTGATGGTTGAGCAGATGATGCTGGTATAGTTTGAGACAGGTGATCTCCACTCATATGACGTATAAACTCCTTCTCTGGTTTCCCTATACTATCACGTGTTTGACTGATCAATTTACGAGCACGTTCACGTAACCTCTTCTTTCTCTCTTCCTCCTAAATGTTTTACAACATTTCATTTAATATACATGTATATCAGTTTTCAAGATAATGTTAAAGTAAATAATTCCTACATTGGTAAAATCTGATGAGTAATGAAAGTTAATTCATATTGTCAGTATCCAATGTAGCAATTGGATAGCCAACAGCCAATATGCATAGAACTGTTAATAGTGGAAAGGTCCATATAAACCCTGAGCTGTAAGAGAAATATGAGTAAAAGTTTGCAAAAACTATTTAACAGCCAAAGAATCACTATTCAAAAAGACATGATTTGATACACAGAGAAATACAAACATACATCTGTCTCTGACTTGTGTTCAGATGTAGCAGGATTATCATCAGATGGATTTTCCACAGAACTTTCCATTTCTTTCTGTTTTCCTTCATTCTCCTGTCTAGCTCTTTGTAACAATAGCTTTGCCCTTTCCTTCAACTCTAATTGACGTGACTTTTTACTTGACTGAAAAATAGACAACAGTTTATTACTTCAACACACAAATAAAAGTGGGACAGTTACCAAACAAATATTCCTGAATTTTGTAACAGTTCTTAGATAAACTGACTACATTTTTGTATTTATTATTAGATTATTCACATAAAACAACTATAGGGACAAAAATTGGAATACCATTTATGGCCCTTACCTAACTTGTCATAGAAAATCAAGATTTTAATTTGCCATCATAAGGTGGATTGACCTAAGATTATGCTTATTTTGTTAAAAGACATTACTTTTATGGAAACATGAACTAATTTGGCACTCCAATGATGTTTAGAGGTGTTCTGTTTCTGTCACATTTCAATCCTTTGATATATGCGGAATGTCTTTCATATGTATAACTATAGCTTGACGTAATTCAAAGCACTTTAACTCATTTTGGCAATTTAAGATATCCTGCAAGCTATCACAGTTAATTTCGTAGGGAATCATTATGTTTTTATGAATGTATGTTTTTTCATTAAATGTTTGCAGAAAAAAACAAATTAGACATGTCAGTTAAAAGAAAGAAATATGAGGATTTGCTGAAAAACTGTGGCAAATAAACATAAAACAAAGAAAACCTTTGTTATATCAAAAGGGATTATCATACCAAGGAGGCATTGAGAAATTATTTGTTGAAAAATCAGCTCAATAAATATGTGCATAGGAATAAAATATCTGATGTAAAAAAACAACATACAGTTCAAGAATGTTCTCAGTAAAAAGCACATGTAATTGGCCTTGATTATATAAGTCAAAGAGCCATATAAGAGCTACTAACCTGTGAAGAATCTGATGCCTCAGAGTTTGGTGTGTCTGGAGTCATCTCCCTTGATGAAGACACTACCTTTCTCTAGAAAATAAAAGATAATTTTCCTATGACCTGCTTTATGAGCAAACTTAAAAAATTTATGAGGAGACAAAATTTTAAATTTAATTTACAGGTTAAATTACATAACTTTAGTACTTCAGGCTACTTATCTAAAATATTGTCTATAAACAGAGTGCAAAACTTCATCATGACAAATTTAAAGCTCTATTTATAATCAGTATTTACCTTATTATGCTCTGTAGTTTTCAAACCTGGTAAATTCATATCTCTTTTAACTTTCTCAGTTTTTCTACAAAAGTAATTTACACAACATGATCTAACACAGAAAGAAACAAAGATACATTTTCAGAAACACAGATACATTTTTAGAAATATTCTCAAAACACAGAAATATTTTCAACATAATTTTAAAGAACAGAAGATTGAAGAAAGGTATAAGATGAGACCTTTGGTAATGCAAAATGTACACTTCTCAAACCAATTGCATGTTTTACACATGAAGCCAAAAGACATATTTAACTTTTTGTCCAGGCCCATAAACTATTTTTAGTTTCTGAGTTATGCATGTCCTCAAAAACAGCACATAGTTTAGATATTGTCAAATGAATTTATTGACATGTCCACAGACAAGGGAAACTTTTTTTGATAAAAAAAAAATGTTCTTTCCTAGGTACACTTATTGAATGTTGTTATGTTAGGTTACTGCGATTTATACCCTATTAATCAATACAAGTATAATTCTCTTGTCTATAAATTCTTATTTTGTAAAAAATGTTTTAATTTAAAAAAATCCTGGATTTAAGCTCAATATAAACACATCAAAGCTGGTATCAAAATCAAATTATTATGAATTATATCAACATACTACTAAAAGAAAATGAGAATAAAATAAGCACTACACTACAATAGAACAGTCTATGCAAAAGACTTCTAAGTTTTACTGGACAGTAGGTCCTGTAAACTGAAAATTTTTACTGGACCAAACATGATTTTACTGGACCGAAAAAAACCTGATTGGTATAGCATTTTGAGTGACTTGATATTTTTTTAGTGTCAGCAGACAAAAAATTTGTGTACAAAAAGAAAATTATATTAAATATTATCAACGATGTGAAGTTATCTTTTTGCACCACAATCAAAATGTAAACATAAATATTGTTATACATGTATTCAATGGATATTGCTATTTAAACTTTAATTCCATACAGACTATATACTAGCAAAATGAGAGGGTAAATTTCAGCAAAAGTCTGGCATATGTAAACAGAATTATATATATCGGTAATTTAGTGAAGTTGACAGATTAATTGTTCAATGATTTTGGTACCTTCACAGTATAGTTTAATTTTTGTCAACATCTTGGACGATCTTTCATAGCTAAACACCAGTTGAGCACACGTGTAATTTAGCATTACTCTAAGTCTGTCGATTAAAGACGTAAATTGTTCAAATTAATACACTGACACTTTCATTTGTGTAAACAAACTAATAGCGGGTGACCTTTCACATCTGGGCTGCTTATGTAATTTACGCGGCTTATTGCCTTTTAATTGTACTAGTTGTCGGATATTTTTATCTTACGTTGATACATTAAAGTTTGCATTATGAGAATGCATAACAGTTGACAAGCATTGCATGAGCTTATATTGTGTAATGACAACATTTTGATATGTTTTAAATTTAGGTAAATGTAAGGTTTTTATAAAAACCTTAATTTTTTACCGGACCGTTGGGCCGTCAATACATATATTTTTATCGGACCTTCTGATTTTTTACCAGTCAGGGCCGATGGTCCGACGGTCTTTCGGAAAGACTGATAGAACAAAGTTACGTCTAAACAAATCTTACTGTAAAGGTCAATATGAAACAATTGTTTGACTTACTTGTCTGTAATCTCAGGCTGGTGTTCTGTATTATTTTTCTGAACCCAAACATCATCTGTTTGATCTTCCTCTGTATCACTTCCAAATGGATTTAATGACTCCCCTTTCTCTACCTTCTCATTCTTGTCAGACTCCGAGCTTATCTTTGATCCACTAGATGATTTAGTTGGAGACCCTTCCTTAGAACTCCCCCTTGAAAGACTAGATCTGTTACTTTTATCACTTACATTATCCTGTACTCCATTTGGCACATGTTTGTCAACTTTATCACTGTCGGAGTTCACAGGTTGATTTTCTTTAGCAGGGGAGATAACTCTATCACTCATTTTATCTCCGTACATTTCCTTAGATATGGCAGCATCTTCTGCAGTATCATGCTCCCCCAGGGTATATGTACTTTCACTAGAACTAGGACCAACCTGCTGAATCTGAAATAATATATATATAGTTTTGCCATTGAAACTTATTTTAAATTGCAATATATGGTACCTATATCTTGTGTAAGTTTGGTTTATTTTTGTAAAATGGTTTACTACTTAACACTTTTGGACACTTAAGGACACAAATTATATGGACTCTTCATAGGTTTGAATTTGCTTTGTATTTTTGTTGATTTAACAATCTTGATTTCTCTTTTGCTGTGTGTCTTTTCATCTGAGAAACTTGTTAATATGACAATACATTTCATTACTAAGACATGATCATATCTGAAGAATGTCAATATCAATCTTACTTCTAAAGATGTTCCAGTGAAGTAACTTCTCAGTTGATGTAAATATGTCATTACAGCCAGTTTGTCTGGGACAGCCAGTAACACCATATCTGACGGTTCTATCACACGAGGAATTCCAAGTCTCGCTGCAGCATCAAATGCCTGTATTATTAAATATAGGTAAAATCATGTAAACTTGCATCATACTGTGTCAAGCTTACCAATAACTTGCCTTCATCATAAGTATAAAGTCTGACCCAGCTCTTTAACTGTTGCCAGCTTAATTTTGATATGGAAATCCCTCAAACTTACAACAAATAGTTCCTAAGTCAAAGCCTGGCAAGTACATTTTATAAATTTAGCCATGTAAGAGTTAACACTACATGTCTCTAAACCTGAAAAAATATGAGTGATTATATAGATGTTGTTACAACTATATGTGAATAAAGGTATAATGAAATTGATATCTGATTAATTGAACAGATAAATTTATAACAAAACACAAAATATGTGACCCCATCAGATACAATAACAATTGATAAATAATATCAATATTCTTCATGTTTTATACAGCATTTCGCTAACTACAGTCACTGTATCTTAAGTTATCTAGGTATATTCTTGACAAACTAGATTGATCTGGATATAAATGAATTTTCCATTTCATAGTTACTGTTTACTAAAACCAATTACATGTATATAAATATTATATTGAAACTAGAAATGTGTCATCATGCCACGGATGCCCCCGCATGCAGCCAAAATTTCAGATGTTATAATATTTAGTTCCAAATTTGTTTGCACAAATTATTTTTTTAATTTTAAGTTCAAAGCCCTTAAAACTTTTCAATGTTAACATAAACCATTTTCATACAATGTTCAAGGCACTGAAATTATTCAGTCTTAACCTTTTGAAAAAAGCATATTTCATATTTGTAGCCAAAATAATGGCTACATACATTTCCACAAAAGTATGAGTGCTGAAACTGAAAGTTCAAAGTTTTTCCAACATTCAAGAAAGATAAGTTTGTCCAAAATCATTGAACCATGACCAAATTCAAACTTAAGCTGCTTATTCCTAAGATGTATCTATATTATTTTCAAAGTGAAAGGGGCATAACTCTGCCAAAAATCATTGAACCATGACCAAATTCAAACTTGGCCTGGGCATTCCTTTGATATATTCATATGTCAAATTTGAGTTTAATATGTAACACTGTTGGGTAGATAATGAACAGAAACTGTAAATTTCATATTATTTTCATAGTAAAAGGGGCATTACTTTGCCAAAAATCATTGAACCATGACCAAATTCAAACTTGGCCTGGGCATTCCAAAAACATATCCATATGTCAAATTTGAGTTGAATGTGTTGTACCGTTGGGGAGATAATAAACAGAAACTGAAAATTTCATATTATTTTCAAAGTGAAAGAGGCATAACTCTGCCAAAAATCATCGAACCATGACCAAATTCAAACTTGACCTGTATTTTCTCATGATATATCCATATGTCAAATTTGAGTTGAATGTGTTGTACCGTTGGGGAGATAATGAACGGAAACTGAAAATTTCATTTTATTTTAAAGTAAAAGGGGCATAACTCTGCCAAAAATCATCGAACCATGACCAAATTCGAACTTGACCTGTATTTTCTCATGACATATCCATATGTCAAATTTGAGTTAAATGTGTGCAACCGTTACTAAGATAATGAACGGAAACTGATGATGACGGAATGACAGAATGACGGAAGGACGGAATGACGGAAGGACGGAACAGGGTAACACTATATGCCCCGGCCATTACATGGCGGGGGCATAATAAATCTTAGAACTATAAAGTACTGAACAATACTTTATTCTAGTTTTGAATAATCATAAAGAAACAAAAAAAAATATTATTTCAACCATACTTACTATCCTATTATTGCCTTTAATATCATGTGGGGCTAGCTTACTAAATGATCTAAAATAAAAACCAGGAAAAACACATATAAATACACAGACATACAGTATAAACATGTTACATATGAAATTAAATTACAACTTTTATAAAATCAAAATTCATAAAATTGAGATTCTTGGTTAATTGATAAAAGAATAATATTCCTGCGGCTTGTTTTATGCATAATAACAACATCATAAAGTAATTCTTTAAAAGGAATATTAGGAAATACACTTAACAGGTTTCACACATTAAATAGTTTCAGGAAATATAAAATGATCAGTTATTAATAACTGCTTACACAAGATCTGGTCTAAAATGATGTATCACAGCACAGAATGCCATGCCATTCCTCCATGATGTTGTAAGATTTGTAACCTTGACCCCTTTATAACCTTTGGTGACCTCTTTACACCAGCCCAAAAGGTCAAGAGTTGAGCTTGGTGCATTCTGGGCTGGAGATTCACTCTATAAGCACAAGAAGAAGAAAAATAGAATACATAATGAGTCAAACCAATTTTACACAAAAGTATTTTATACAAAAAACAACAACATATCTTTAGAAATGTCATAATGAGAAAGACGCAAGCTTTTTAAACAGGAATATTTTCAAAACAGAATGATTTTTCTTTCTTATTTCAACAAGGAGTATCAAAAAAGTAGCAAAAAGGTCAACAATAAGAAGACTGTAGCAAATACTGTTTGACATCAATTTAAACTTGAATAGACCAATGATGGATTATAATCCATTTGTTGTTGAAAATCCGTTAAAATATACCCAAGTCCTCTATAACATAAAGACAATGCACTTACATAACTGGAGTCTGTACTGGGCGAGTCATTCACTACTGGGGTACCATTCATTTCCTTTATCACTTTGGTCCTATATGTAAAACATTCTTATCAGTACTGAGGTAAATAGACTGACAAATGAAGTATATAACTGAATTTATTTTAAAAACTTAAAGCGTTCATAAGCTTGAACCATTTTTCTTAACAATCATTTATAACTTTTGTATCCATTTTTTAAATATGTAAGAAATGAAAATTTTATAGGTAATATCAAAAACTGCAATAACATTTGCTTGATTTAAAACTTAAAATTGTTGTATATTCAGTTACACTTACTCTGTCTTAGGTGTCTGCTTATTCTGATTATCTCCCCCTGCATCTGGAGGTGGAGTTATCGGCCTTGACTTTCTATCCTCCTTTGGTGATGAGGGTGGTGTCCCTTGATAAACAGGTCTAGAAGCCACAGGGGCCTTTCTCTTTGGTGATTTTATATATTTATGTTGTTTCTCTTCCATAGGTGAAACAATTTCCTTATTTTCTAATCTAACTGGGGACTTCGCCCCATTGCCTAATTTCTCTGGCTCATTTGGAGATAAAGTTTGAGAATTAGATTTGGGAGGGGATGGAGCCTTTTTCTTTTTCACAGGTTTTTCAACTGAATTGTCTTTAAAATTGTCAGCGAAAGGGTTACTTTCATCTAACTCTGTAGAATCCTCAAAAGGATTTGTGCTTGCACTATTGTTAATATTACCAGTATTATTTTCAAATTCCTCATCGAAGGGATTTGCACTAGAATCTTCTGCTGTTGGAATCTGGTAGTTGTCTTCTTCCGCTTCTTCAAAAGGATTGAGAGGAAGTTTCTGAGGTGTGTATTTTTGAAACATTTGATCTGAAAATGAATTTCTAAAATTGATATACAATTTCTCAAAGGTAATCAATAACCATGTTATATTTTTCTCTTAAAAATCATTGAATTAATATTTCTTGGAAAACTTTAATTGTTTTGAGGAAAAGTAAATCTGTGAAAATGCAAATAAAACAGCAACCTTTATTAAAGATCAGTCATGAACATATTACATATCAATGTAGCCAATTAAAACTAAAACAACCCAATTATTATTTTTAATAGTAAAAATATTACTTAAAATACATTTAAATTTTCACTTTACAAACAAAATCTTATGTGTATACACCTTGCCTTTCACAATATTTGGAAGCATGCATAACTTTACAACAGTCAACAACAAAATGTTTTTAAATTTACTTGTATAACAACACAACAAAGGAAGAAAAAAACCAATGACTGGTAATGAAATCATGCATCTATATTGAACTATATATAAAGAACTAGCTAAATAACATCAAAAGCAGATCAGCTGAGCCACTTTAATATCACACAAGATAAAGTTTTGAATTCACAAACTAATATGCACCGGTAGTCCTTATTTGAAGACAGAACCTTTAAATCTTAAAAGTATGTTACATGCCAGTCATATTTTAAAAAAAAAAATAAAACGCTATAATTTAAGTCTAGATTGCGGGCCATGGTTAAACAAGAACTGTTGGTAGGACAGTGCGCTTGGCTATTCTCAGTGCTTGACTGTACAAAAAGGGCCTGGATAATGCAGAGTTCAAAAAGGGCCATAATTTTGTCAAAATCCATGTTAGAGTTATGAGCCTTGGAAAATGACCTCCTATGATTGATGCTCTACAAAAAGTGTGTGAAGTTTCAATACATTCCCTACATTAGTTTTGGATATACTAACTTGAAAACAAAAACTAACTACCAAAGTGTTACGCCAAGGCTGAGGTGAGTATAATAACTCTCCTTTCAATAGTCAAACCAAAGCCAAGTGACTTGGAGAAGTTAAAGGTAATCCAATATGAAAATTTAATCGACACACAAACTCCATATCTCGTAGCAATTTAAAAGCTTGAAAAATTATAAAGAAAATCAGGTCAGTTTACAGCTTTTGCCATATATTCAATAATACCAACATGCCATTTATCAATGTTCTTGGTCAAGTGGCTTCAGACACAAAAATTAAAATGTCTTTCCATATATAAGCACACAATTAAATGAAGCTGAAGGTGACCAAGTTTCAAGGAAGAGAAAAAAAACCACAAACAACTGGCAAAAACCACACAATGGGGAAGAAAGTGAAAACTGTAAGCAGAAGGGCTAAAACGCTTTACTAACATCTGTGAGAGTAACCATATTACATTCACAATAATCCAAAAATAAATTATAAATGTAAATGAAGTATTCCAAAATGATGAATGGAAGGTTGAAGGCTGGTAAAGAAAAACGTTGGTCTTTTTTTGAATCATACCCCAAGTCCTTTCCTTTGACTGTACAACTTTGGAGGTCATGAATAGACCATTGGCAAGTAAATGTCTCAAGTTATAAATAAATATACTTTAGACCTCAGTAAAACAATAAACCACCTCCTTTTATTGAGGTGGTTAAACGGATAAACACACCTCTGAAAAACAATTTCATTTAAATCTGAATATATTTGTATCTCCATTAATATAACCAAATATATAGCACATAATCTTATTTTCATACAGATCACATTCTTAAACCTGAAGAAACAGACTCCATTCATGCACCATTATATCACTTTCCTACTTTGTTAAACAGAGGTGTTTTGTCATTTAGGAGTCCAACAATGACTTTTACATTTATTCATACACATATCTGATTGTTTCCCCTACATATTCATGTTGCTTAATATACAACTTTCAGGTTAAAATCAAGCAGACTTATTTGTTTAGAAACTTGTATAGTGTTGGGACTCCTATTGCGAGAAATAAACAAAAAGCAGAAATAAAACAACAAATACCAATGTCTTCATCAACATCTAAATCTGGGTCACCAAAGGGATTACCCATGTTTTGATTGGCTGTATGAAGCTGTGACATCTGACTGGTGATCTCTGCGACCTTTGCAGAAAGATTCATGTCCGACTCTTCATCATCCTCTACATCATCTAGATTCCCGATATCTGTCTTTCCTATTGACATCAGTGACGCCACACTCTGCATGTCCTCATCTCTATTATGTTTAAATAACAACATATAAACAACAGTCATTTTAAATCATAAAAAATGTTAAATTGCTAATAAATTTACAATTGTTTATCTATCTTATCGCAATTATCACTTGCACTGTCATCTGTTTGGAGACAGAGCAGCCGCATATAAACTCTAGAATATTATATCTGCTCAACTTTATGATTTCAATATCACAACTGACCATTCAAAATGTATAAAAACTTTATTTTAGTTTATGTGGAAGCTATAAGCTTATAGACACTGGAGAATCTGTTCCAGAAACTAACCAGAATTGAGCAATGACCTTAGTTTTTTACTCAATGTAGCCCTTATCCGGTTTGAACCCATGCTGCTAGTGATCCTTAGATTACAAGTCAGACATGATAACCACTTGCCCATGATAAAAATTGACAGGAAATTAAAGGCGAATGATGGAAAGTTTAGAAAGATAACTTAAGTTTCCTGCCCTTGTCCTTATGAATTAAGATTTGTAGCTATTTTACAATTAACAAATTAGACAAGAAAATAGTTAACATAATATTGATATCATCAAAATAACATATCCCAACATAATTCCAAATAATTTCCAGATCCACATCACACTAAAAGTGTTTTAAAATCACAATTAATTTCTAACCTTTTTCTTCTTTTCCTAAAGGTCTTAAATAAGTATCTGTTCACTTTAAAGGGCATTATTTTTGTTCAAGTCTAACTTCAGTATGAGAAACAATGAGCAATTGTTTTTAGATTCTGATTTAATATATGTACAAGCATGTAATTTGAGCAGTCATCTTGTATGTAAAATACTGGCTAATTAAAATTCATTAAAGTAACATGATATCAAAACTACAGCTACTTGTACAATTAACAGTTCAAGGTGAAGGTTAAAGACCCACTGCTACATATCATTCAAAAGTTAACTTAGGTTAAATAAATTATGCAATAAAAAACTAGACCTATCACTGAAGGTGATTAATACCCCCACCAGCAACTTTTTGAAAAAAAAGTAGTCTGAAGAAAAATTTGAACACAAACTATCAACTGTGTACAAAGAAATATTTCAATTAATTGTAATCGCAACTGGGGTCTCGAAATAAGCTTGCTATACACCAAGTTTGATTACAATATCTCATTCCTAACTCTAGTTATTGTCCGGAAACCATTTTTCTATTTTTAGTAACACTGTAACGGTGACCTTGACCCTAGGGGGTCCAAATGCAATACCAACCCAGGTCTTCATATAAGCTTCCTATACACCAAGTTTGATAACAATATCTCATTCCTAACTCTAATTATTGTCCGAAAACCATTTTTCTATTTTTCTAAACGGTGACCTTGACCTTGACCCAAGGGGGCCCAAATGCAATACCAACCAAGGTCTTCATATAAGCCTGCTATACACCAAGTTTGATAACAATATCTCATTCCTAACTCTAGTTATTGTCCGGAAACCATTTTTCTATTTTTCTTAACGGTGACCTTGACCTTGACCCAAGGGGGCCCAAATGCAATACCAACCAAGGTCTTCATATAAGCTTGCTATATGCCAAGTTTGATCACAATATCTCATTCCTAACTCTAGTTATTGTCCGGAAACCATTTTTCTATTTTTCTTAACGGTGACCTTGACCTTGACCCCAGGGAGTCCAAATGCAATACCAACCAAGGTCTTCATATATGCTTGCTATACACCAAGTTTGATTACAGTATCTCATTCCTAAGTCAAGTTATTGTCCAAAAACCATTTTTTCTATTTTTAGTAACGGTGACCTTGACCTTGACCCCAGGGGGTCCAAATGCAATACCAACCAAGGTCTTCATATAAGCTTGCTATACACCAAGTTTGATAACAGTATCTCATTCCTAAGTAAAGTTATTGTCCAAAAACCATTTTTTCTATTTTTAGTAACAGTGACCTTGACCTTGACCCCAGGGGGCCCAAATGCAATACCAACCCAGGTCTTCATATAAGCTTGCTATACGCCAAGTTTGATAACAATATCTCATTCCTAACTATAGTTATTGTCCGGAAACCATTTTTCTATTTTTAGTAACAGTGACCTTGACCTTGACCCCAGGGGGTCCATATGCAATACCAACCAGAGTTTCCACATAAGGTTGCTATATACCAAGTTTGATTACAATACCTCATTCCAAACTCTAGTTATCGTCCGGAAACCATGATGTGGACCGACCGACCGACCGACCGACAAGCTGACTCCTATATACCCCCCCTAAACTTCGTTTGTGGGGGTATAATTAAGATAACTCAGGTATATCAGAATTTATACAAGTATACAGCACAGTTACTGGTGTTAGATATTTCATTGTGAGCATAAACATAGAGCCTATATATTTTTTTATCTTGATTATGAAAAAAGATGTTTGAAAAATTCTTAATCACTTCAATTATTTTCATAAACTAACCAGTACTGATACAATGTATATGAGGAAGCATAGTTAACACTTCAGTTTAGTGCAAACCCATACAAACTAGTTAAATATTTATCCATAAGATTCAAATTTTTATTAAACATAAAGCCCAAAATACTTTACATAATAAGTCAGCTGTGTTGTGGCTTCATTTAAATCTAAAAACTTGTTTGATGCAAGGACAATGTCCATTAATAACCACAAAAGCTTTTCTAGACATTGTTATTCATAATCTATATATACTGAATGACCTGGAGGGGGGGGGCATATCATAGTTCTTGAGTAGAAGATTTCGTTTTTAGCTCTACTTTTATTACTCTATTACCAATCCACCAAGTGGTTTAAAAAAACTTGTGGATTATGAAGAGACTAAATACTTACGTAGCTTTACCCTCCCTCAGAAATACACAAGACAGTGTGAGTTTGATCCTGGCAGATACAATTTTTCTTGAAGCCGGGTTGAGTTTGATGGTCAGATCATGTTGGGTAGGTATATCACTGGCATACTTCATCATATTGATGGCTGCTGATGCCAACACCTTCCTGCGACCACTTTTATCTTGCTGTGTAATATACAAATAAAATATAAATTTTCTTTTGAATAAAAATATCTGTATGGTTTGGAAATCACATGACTCACAGATTTTTGACTTTGGTAAGTGTCCAACTTTTTTCATAATACACCAGTTTCAGTTATACAAAAGGAACTTTCAAATGTTGTAGGAGTTTTCTTATGTTGCATTACACTCTGAATGAATTTTGCAATGGATGTTGAGACAGGATATTCATACAAAACAACTTTAACTAGGAATGTTGTATGTTTAAAAAAGTGGTATAATAAGGTCAAAATACACTTGAGCTACAGGTCTTTAGAAGTTATCTATCATTTATTATCACAAAACATGTGCAAAATTTCAAATTAATTCTTTCATTGGTATATTGAGGTTGCAAGCAAATCCAAGACAATGTATAAAGCCAGAACCAGAAGCTAAAAGGGGCATAATTTTTTAGTAACTTTGCAATTAATTAATTATTAATCACATTTGAATGATTTTAATAAAAAAAAATAAAATCACTTACATTTTCAATGACGAAATGCCATTCTTTATCCTCATATGGTGAATGTTTGTTGTCACGGAACAATGTCACCTGTATTTCTATATTCTCTGGTACTGTCCAAATCACTTCTCCTAAATAGGGATTCTTTATGGTTGGCTCCCAATTATGTAACTAAAATGGATATGAAAACACTTGTGCCAACATAAATGTCATAAAATTATTTAAACTAACTGAGATGAAGCTCTTGATGTCCATACTGGTTTAAACAATTTCAAAATGACACATTAATTAATAAGGATTAAGGCACCCTCAAATGAAGAAGTCTTGATGTTGATATAAAGATTTATGCTGGTTGTGATAAGAAAACAAAGCAACAGTTTCCCTATTATTTCCTATTTTACTTTAAGTCAAGAAGGTATAGTTTAAACATATATTATTGTATATATGTACATACATGAATTTTCACAATTTTACATAAATACATTAATGTAAATATACAAAAGGGTTGGGCCAAAAGTTATAACAACATTATCGGGGCCCTCCTGGTCAAGAAGGTATCCTGAAAATACTCAGTGATAAGTATTATCTGGACGAACAAAGCTGAAGAACAAAGGGTCCAAACAGAATTCCATACTACAGTAGATTAATTTAAAGTAAAACTAGAAGTGTTACTTATTTCGAATATCAAGCAACTAATTAAATCTTTGGAAATTAATCATTATCGGTTGTTCACAAAACCCAATTAATATTATTTACTTGAATTATTTTAACTTTTAACCTGCTGAAGTTTTTTAGTGGATTTATATTGCTTCAAATTTGGAACATATTTTTATCTTTTTTAAAGGATTCAAATATCAAAGTACAAAGATTAAGGAAAAAACAGAAGAGTGCCTAGTAAGACAGCAGGGATGTCCAAGCTGGCCTGACTCTATAGTAGTGGCCAAGGCTAATAACTTTCTGTTGTAGAAGCTGAAACGTCAATCAGTCTTCTAAATAACTGGAATTCTAATCATATCAATAAAATGCATATTTGCATATAAGCGCTTGTATTTCAAACTACTACTATTACGCCTGTTAAAGGACCACTTACCATAGTTGACTTTCTTCTGTTCCTTCTGGTCCAAACAATACAAATCTTGTCTGGTTGCCTATAGACAAAGAAAATTGTAAAATCAAAGACCTGCACATTTGTTCTGGTGTTGTGCTGGAAATTTGGTGAAAATTAAATAAAAAAAAAAAAATCTTTATTTTAGTAAAAATAAAAATGATTTCTGTCTAAAAGTTAGATAAATATTAACATTTAGACTTATTTCTTACAATTAGGCTGTACATAAACAGTATTCACAATTTGAAAAAAAAAAAAGAATATAATTTTATGCAAAAAGTCTCTTTAAAATATTAAATACATAATCAAATTAAAAAACACCATAACTTTATTACCATTTTTTAGAGCTTTCAACTTGTAGTTCCTGGTAAGAAGCTGTAAACTGGAACTTGGAGGCAGACTTGCCAACACGCTGCAGTCGTTTCCACACACTCATCCTCTCATTTTAATATCCAACACAAGAATAACACTATATCCCTTCCATTTATATCATTTATCCTGTAACAAAATATACAAACACATTTGAATCCCCCTTGTTATTTCAATGATCGAAACTTGGCAAAAGTATTTCTTAACTAAACTGTAACTTGTCAAGTATACATTAGTAAACTGTTCTAAGTTTAAAGATTGCTTTTGATAAATAAAAAAAAAATGTCTGACTAAAAAATGCTGAATACCAATATCATATGCTGATATTTAACTTGAGTAAACATTGTTCTGTATACAGTACCTACTTTGAATCAATGGAAAACAACAATAACAAACAAGAAACTTAACAAAAAGAGGCATATTAAGATTTTGAATGAATGACAGGAAGCAATTACCGAATAATGAAACAAAAAATTCCAACACTTGTAACTTTACATTCATCACACATCTAGCCTATATAGAACACATCTAAAATGTCACCATGGTGATGATGTCTGACATTTTTCTATTAACATAAGACAAGGATGGTTTCATACAATAAGTGTATCAATTCTCTAATCTCATTATAAAAACATGCTTTTTATGAAACCCAATCCATTCTGACACCTAAGTACATAGAGCTACATCAAACACAAAAACGTATTTCTTCATCAATAAAACATGTTGTAAGATATTTGACATTTTATACCATCTCATAATTCAATGAGAGAATAATAAGAATAGTTCATAAAAAAACAATCTGGATTATAACCACAGAAGTTACAAGTCTAGACTTTCTATTTGCTAAGATACAGATAATGAAATTTAATATTGACTATCAAATTAAATTTATGACTTTGCATTAAGTAATTGAAGTTATAAACTGACAAATACTTAATAATGTCAACTTTTTAATCAGTTATTCACATACTTCTGACATATAATTGACCTTTAACATGTGACCAGTCTAGTCCTAGTTGAGCCTAAATCTTAATCTATGTTCTGGACCAGATTAAGTATCAACCAGAATCTATGCTCCATACCAGACTCTATATTCTGGACCAGATTAAGTTCTAAACCAGAATCTATGCTCCTCACCAGACTATGTTCTGAACTAGATTAAGTTCTAAACCAGAATCAATGCTTCTAACTAGATTCTTTGCTCTGGACTAGATTAAGTTCCAAACTAGAATCAATGCTTCTAACTAGATTCTTTGCTCTGGACTAGATTAAGTTCCAAACTAGAATCTATGCTCCTAACTAGACTCTATGCTCTGGACCAGATTAAGTTCCAAACCAGAATATATGCTCCTCACCAGACTATGTTCTGGACTAAATTAAGTTCCAAACCAGAATCTATGCTCCTAACTAGACTATGCTCTGGACCAGATTAAGTTCCAAACCAGAATATATGCTCCTCACCAGACTATGTTCTGGACTAGATTAAGTTCCAAACCAGAATCAATGCTCCTAACTAGACTCTATGCTCTGGACCAGATTAAGTTCCAAACCAGAATATATGCTCCTCACCAGACTATGTTCTGAACTAGATTAAGTTCCAAACCAGAATCAATGCTCCTAACTAGACTCTATGCTCTGGACCAGATTAAGTTCCAAACCAGAATATATGCTCCTCACCAGACTATGTTCTAGACTAGATTAAGTTCCAAACCAGAATCTATGCTCCTAACTAGACTCTATGCTCTGGACCAGATTAAGTTCCAAACCAGAATATATGCTGCTCACCAGACTATGTTCTGGACTAGATTAAGTTCCAAACTAGAATCTATGCTCCTAACTAGACTCTATGCTCTGGATCTGCTTAAGTTCCAAACCAGAATCTATGCTCCTCACAAGACTATGTTCTGGACTAGATTAAGTTCCAAACCAGAATCTATGCTCCTAACTAGACTCTATGCTCTGGACCAGATTAAGTTCCAAACCAGAATATATGCTCCTCACCAGACTATGTTCTAGACTAGATTAAGTTCCAAACCAGAATCTATGCTCCTAACTAGACTCTATGCTCTGGACCAGATTAAGTTCCAAACCAGAATATATGCTGCTCACCAGACTATGTTCTGGACTAGATTAAGTTCCAAACTAGAATCTATGCTCCTAACTAGACTATGCTCTGGATCTGCTTAAGTTCCAAACCAGAATCTATGCTCCTCACAAGACTATGTTCTGGACTAGATTAATTTTAAGTTCCAAACCAGAATCTATGCTCCTAACTAGACTCTATGCTCTGGATCAGCTTAAGTTCCAAACCAGAATCTATTTTTCTAACTAGACTCTATGCTCTGGACCAGATTAAGTTCCAAACCAGAATCTATGCTCCTTGTTAGACTCTATGTTCTGGACCAGATTAAGTTTCAAACCAGAATCTATGCTCCTAACTAGACTCTATGCTCTGGATCAGACTCTATGCATCATAACAGACTATATTCTGGACCAGACTCTATGCTCCAAACTAGACTCTATGCTCTGGTCAAGGTTTTATGCTTCAGACCAGATTCTTTGCTCTGGACAATTCTTTATGCTCCAGACCAAACCGCTTCATAATAATTTTGAATGATTAGTTGGTTAATATTACTCTAACCACAATATAATCTCATAACCATAGTAGCTTTGTCTGCTTGTTTATTTACCAGTTATTATAAAAATCTTAACCATATAAATTTTCAAGAAAAGCTTTACATTACTCCATTCTATGTTCACAATAATATCCATTGTATGAAAGAAAGTGTATGTATTGAAGCTGATTCATTATTACAATAACACATCACTGTGATCATATGAGGCAAACTTAATTGAAATATTTCATATTTCAATGTTTCAATTTGTAACTTCCTATTGCCTACTGATAATACATCACTTCCTGATTTGGATAAAATGTGTTTACTATGACCAAGTACAACTAACTTATTTAAGTAGCTAACAACAATGTTTCCTTATTTTCAATATTATATTTCATACTTTCACATTTTATCCATAACCTTGTCTATGAGAGACTTGATTTCTACATTGTAAATCAGCATTTCCTACAACATTTCCTTTAAATACTTCTTAGAGAAAATGAAACTGTTATTAACAAGTATGTACTACAAATAAGTGCTTGAAATTCTTCACTTACATATTCTATATATAGTTAATTAGCAACCAGAATGTTAAATCTATAGATTTTTAATAGCTAGTTGCCCTCTATCTACATAGGGTAAATTTTCCAGGAAATATCTGTATGTCCGGTACATGTGTATAATAGTTAATACTCCACTGTACTGTAGCATCTTTCAATATAAGATTCTGATTTACAATGGCCTTAGCTATTAACCTTTCAAAAAAAACAAAAACAAACAAGAATCGATGCTCCACAAGTAGGTTTTGGACACAGGAAAGTATACATCTTGAAGTGTCAGAGTTATGTCCCTGACAAAGTTCAAAGTGTATAAATGAACAAAGAGTAATAACTCCAAAATCAAGCAAGGCAGAGTTAAGGTTCTTTAGCACTGCACTTCCACACAACGAGATCTATCTATCTACAAAGTTTCATGTTGATATCTCTTATAGTTTTAGAGTTATGTGCCGGACAAAGTTAAAAGTGTAAAAATGAACAAAGGGCAATAACTCCAAATTTAGGCAAGGAAGAGTTATGATTCTTTAGCACTTCACTTCCATCTAATGAGATCTATCTACCTACAAAGTTTCATGTTGATATCTCTTATAGTTTTCAAGTTATGTCCCAGACAAAGTTCAAAGTGTACAAATGCACAAAGGGCAATTACTCCAAAATTAGGCAAGACAGAGTTATGTTTCTTTAGCACTGCACTTCCACAAAATGAGATATATCTACTGACAAAGTTTCATGTTGATATCTCTTATAGTTTTAGAGTTATGTCCCGGACAAAGTTAAAAGTGTAAAAATGAACAAAGGGCAATAACTCCAAATTTAGGCAAGGAAGAGTTATGGTTCTTTAGCACTGCACTTCCATCTAATGAGATCTATCTACCTACAAAGTTTCATGTTGATATCTCTTATAGTTTTAGAGTTATGTCCCAGACAAAGTTCAAAGTGTACAAATGCACAAAGGGCAATAACTCCAAAATTAGGCAAGACAGAGTTATGTTTCTTTAGCACTGCACTTCCACAAAATGAGATATATCTACCTACAAAGTTTCATGTTGATATCTCTTATAGTTTTAGAGTTATGTCCCGGACAAAGTTCAAAGTGTAAAAATGAACAAAGGACAATAACTCCAAAATTAGGCAAGACAGAGTTATGGTTCTTTTGCACTGCACTTCTACCCAATGAGATCTATCTACCTACAAAGTTTCATGTTGATATCTCTTACAGTTTTAGAGTTATGTTCCCGGACAAAGTTCTAAGTGTAAAAATAAACAAAGGGCAATAATTCCAAAATTAGGCAAGGCAGAGTTAAGGTTCTTGTGCAATGCACATCTACTCAATGAGATCTATCTACCTACAAAGATTCATGTTGATAGCTCTTATTGAATTGACCCAGACAAGAATAGCGGACAGACAGACAAAGCAGCGACTTTATGCTCACCCTTCGGGAAGCATAAAAACTGAAGGCAACAATAACCTGCCAAACAGAAAAGACTCTGACCAACCTTCACTCAATGTGCTGCTGGCCATACTGTACATTCAGTGACAGTTATCTGTTCTAATTTTCAACTTTTGCTATTGAAAACTTAAAATTAACAATGAAACTTAACAACAATTTAATGGTTTATTGGATACTTCAAGATCTGGGAAATTTATAGTGCAAGGAAAGTAATAAGATGTCTACATAATTTATATACATGTTTGTGATTTTATTGATTCTCATTAGTTTAAGACATAACATATGGGACTTTGATACCATTTTTCATTATCAAATTAAATTTGTTTCCATATATTTGTAATTTACAAATTGGCATGTGTAATATAAAACACTTGTCAATAGCAGGGTTGTTCTTAGTCCTTTTGTTTAACATGATATTTAATCAATATAAATTCATACAATTTTCAAGAAAAAATTAAACCATATCCCTGAACATTCTCACAATAGCACATTGTAAGTAAATGCCAATGGTATGAATTGAATTTAACTATTAAGTCAATATCCAAATGGATTTATTCAGGCAAGTGATGACTAATTAAATTCAATGAATGATATAATTCTTGGCATTACCAGCTGAAGGAGTAAATCGGTTGATTGTGTTGGCATACAAGTAAAATAATAGGCCCAGTACTTTATTTCTACGCTAAATTCTTTTATTTTCAAATACTTAGCTTTCAGATCAATTAAATCATGATACAATTTGCAAGAACTTGTAGACTTTACTGAACTGATTCTGTTAGTGTTAGGCAATAAATCGAGTAACATCTCTCCAGATCAGACTTCAATTTATTTAATTTTCAGCAATCAGGACATAATGTTTTTTAAGTCATGAAGGGATTGCATGCCCCTACATGCAAATATTTATGCATAAATAAATCCCTTGGCGGAACAACCAACCACCAGCAGGCTATATTGACATCTTCTATACAGGAAACACTTCAGCATACCTTTAAATTCAATTTTACAATTCATAAGCATAAAGGCCTATTATGTTTTGTTCTTTATAGTTCACATCCAGCTAAATATTTCACAATATTTCAAGCCTTTATTCTCAGTCTTTAAAAAAATGTAGTCCATAGAACACCATGCAACACCATTACAACTGCCTTCCATTGAATAGGAAATGTGTTTCAGCTCATTTTTTTCCTACTAAATAGGACTTTGTGGATGAATCGATACCAAGAAAAATATCATTTTATTCATTAAAGCACTCTCACCCAGTACTTTTGGAAAATTGACGCTGTGCCATTCCTGGCATTACAGGACATCACTTTCTACCACAAGTTACCATTATCAAACACACAAGTGTACTTTTAATATCTCTTTTTGCACAAAATGTAATTTTTGATTTTTTTTTTCAATCATAGGAACCACCGATATAGGTTAAAAGCTGGCTTCAAAAAGTACAACTGACTGAATACAACCTGTCAAAAAGTCAAATATATTCTGGATGATTTCCTTGCACAATGTATTGCAGCCAGCTCTGCACCTAATTAAACAACTTGCTGAACCTTAAGTCAAGCACTGATGTGTGGTATTTACAGTCTCCTTTGCTAATTATAGCTATAACAATTAAGTTTTCTTAACCCTTTCCCCCATGAGCATATTGTGAAAAATGGCCATTTTCAGTGAAAAGCCTCCTCTTACAAGTTCAAACTGCTATGAAACTATGAAAAATGCTTCAATACTAATCAAACTTGGCACAAATGTTGACTGGACCATTGCCTTTGTAACCACATGCTCAGTCTTAAATTTCCTGTTACCATGGCAACGAGGGGACATCTCAAAATTGCCAAAAATCACTATTTTGCCTCGATTTTTTCCATCAAAATTTATTTCAAAGTGCTGCAACTTCACAATGGATTGAGATAGAGTCAAAGGCTTTTCAGCGTTGGTTACACGTTACCTTATGATCAACCTGGGGTCATTTTAAGCCTCTCACAAGTCCAAAATTTTCTTGGCGATGATATACCAATATTTTGTTGAAAAGCAGGATAGTACCATACTAATATATCATCATGACTAACAGGTTTAATAACTTAAAAATAATGGTGAATTAATTGCCATAGCAAAATAAATAAAAAATAAATACATTTTTATTTCTAAATTCATTTTTTTAAAGAGCACATTTTAATTTAAATTATAGTTAATTAATAAAAATAAATAGATTAATAAAAATAAATAGAGATGCAATGCTACTGGATTAACGAATGCGTGATGCAATTAACGGTAATTAAAGTTACATTAAATAAATATGTAAAAATATTTTGCCGTTGGCCTAAAAATCAAACATTCTACAGTTTCATTAACCTGTTTAATAGTATTGTTGTAAATCTCATCCAATATTGTTCATAAATTATGATTTTAAAAGGAAAACCCCACGGTAACACTAAAGTTCGTATACGAATTTTAACATGCAAATGAAGACTATGATGAGCTCGTGTATGCGCTACGTCACAGTTATATAGTTGCTATCCGGAACACAGCAAATGTGATATTTTCTTGTGCAAACACACTTTAACCGTTTAAGCTTCACGGTGCACTAAACCTGGGGTTCAGTAAAAGTAATAATCTCGTAAAAAGATTAAATTTGTATGAAAACATCCGTTACAATGCGGAAATATACCGTTAAATTAGGACTGCCACTTATAGACATGTTTGTTGATTTAATATTGATGTACGGATGATCCAAAGGCGGAGTTTCTCATGCAAACAGAAATTGTATTTCCCATTTCGCCACAATGAGGTTACCTTTTTTATGCTAATAAAACTCATTTAGGTTGTTTGGACACCAAAATAAGACCTGGAGTCGATATAAAACACAATTAATTAATGAAATGTCGCTATTTAGTTTTTTATGAAATTTATTAAATGTAACTTTAAGTGTGAAGAACATGCTACCTGATTAAACGTGACCGTGTTCAAACTTAAATTGATTTGTCGCACATGAGTGGATATAGAACACACAGACAATATAGACATATAACATATATGAATGCATAATTAGAGATATAATTGATGACTATCATATTGAATTTATCATAACATGATTTCTTGGTGCATGCATTATAATAAATATACATGTATATGGATGTTGTGATGATGGGTGTTAAGCCCCAGTCAGAAATAATGTATATGTTCTGTTCTGTTATGATTATTTTGTCCGAAAAAAATACTTATTTATAGTGATATCTATCCTATTAAAGAGTGAGACATTTAAT